TGAAAGTGCCCTTCTTCTACACACTGATATTCCGTACCATCAGCTATTTGTTCGTACTTCGCTGCATTACACAGCAGCCCGTATCCACTTGCATAGGTGGTATACGCTCTGTTCTTTATATCTCTCTCCTTCTCGGGCATTATCTATTCCGGATATTGCCTTTCTTGTTTCGTCATTACCGCCACCGATTCTGTTACTTGGTGATTTTAATGCCCACCATTTCCTCTGGGGGGGTTTCTCACTGTAATTCCCGTGGCATTCAGTTAGAGGCTTTTCTTGCCACCCACCCCCTGCATGTTTTAAATACAGGTACTCACACTCGTTTTGATCCTCGGACTCGCACTCTCTCTTGCATCGATCTCTCAGTCTGCTCTTCCTCCGCCGCATTAGACTTCACTTGGTCTGTTCTTCCGGACTTACATGACAGCGATCATTTCCCAATCATTCTTACTTCCCCTTCATATTCACCACCTCTTCGCATCCCACGCTGGCAATTTAATCAGGCTGAACCTTCTTAAAACTCTTGCTCATCTTTCATGGGGAGCTGATCGTCGAACCCTCCTTCGCCTACATTCCACCCTTATTTTATCGAAACTTGATTATGGTGACCAGATCTATTCAGCGGCATCTCCTGCTACTCTCTCTAGCCTTAACCCCATTCATCACCAAGGATTACGTTTATGCCTTGGTGCTTTTCGCTTTTCCCCTGTCGAGAGCCTCTATGTAGAAGCGAACGTTCCATCCTTATCTGATCGCCGTGATGCCCATTGCCTTCGCTACTATGTACGCTCTCATGATCTCCGCAATCCTTCCATTTATAGAATGATCACTGATATTAGTAGACATTATTTGTTCGCCGCCCCTGTTTACTCCGTCCCTTCTCTCTTTGCCTTCATTCGCTCTTGTCTTCTCTTCAGTTACCACCTTTCTATGTACATGTAGCATCTCACTTTTCCCTACCCCCCTGGGAAGTTCCAGCTGTTCGAGTCTGTTCTTTCTCTCTCCCTTGCTCAAAAGCCCAACTGTCTACGGTCGCTTCCCGCTCTCTTTTTCTTGACCACTTTCACTCTCATTCTCATGCCATTGCTGTGTACACAGATGGCTCTAAGTCTTCTGACGGCGTAGGATTCGCAGCAGTGTTTCCGGACAGCGTCGTACGAGGGCATTTACTATTTTCGGCTAGTATTTTTACTGCTGAATTGTATGCCATCCTTACAGCACTTATCCGTATTGCATCTATGCCTGTGTCATCATTTGTGGTTGTCTCAGACTCCCTTAGTGCTTTACAGGCTATACAGAAATTTGATACACCTCACCCCTTAGTCCTCCGTATCCAACTTTGGCTATGCCGCATCTTTACCAAGCATAAAGATATTGTTTTTTGTTGGGTCCCTGGTCATGTTGACGTACAGGGCAATGAACAGGCAGATACTGCTGCGCGGTCAGCAGTACATGACCTACCAGTTTCATGTAGAGGTATTCCATTTACGGACTATTTTGCTGCAATATCTTCCCACCTTCACACCCGTTGGCAACACCGTTGGTCTACTATGCTCGGCAACAAACTTCAATCTATTAAACCAAGTATAGGTTACTGGCCGTCTTCTTATCACCAGTGTCGAGGTTGGGAGACTACTCTCTCCTGTCTTCGCATTGGCCATACTCGTCTTACTCATGGATATCTCATGGAGAGGCGCCCTGCTCCTCTCTTGAGAATTGCCAAGCTCCATTATCAGTCAGCCACATTCTGTTGGACTGCCCACTTTATCAACGAGCACGCAGAATTTACCTCCGTCGTCGTCTTTGCTCCGCTGCTCTCTCTTTACCTTCCCTTCTCGCTGATGGACCCACCTTTCATCCAGACTCTCTCATTGACGTTTTGACAACAACTGACTTACTTCACAAATTCTGATACCTTTAACCTTTTCTACTTCAATCTCTTGCTACCCTCTACCCCTGTACTATCCCCTGCCCTGCTGTTTTCTGTAACCTACTGATCATCCCTCCTCCCTTCTGCCATCCAATACCCTCGCTTCCTTCCCTACCCTGCAGCGCTGTATAGCCCTTGTGGCTTAGCGCTTCTTTTTGATTATAATAATAATAATGTGTCATGTACAGGACCCCCCCCCCCTTTTGCCTACATTTATGAAAAATTTACTGGCCAGAATTTAAACATAAATTAGACAGCTTATCTGAGGTTCCTGGAGTTGTCCTGTCATGTTGCCTGATACTAAAATTATGCAGGAATGCACATCCAACAATTTCACCTCCTATTTGAGAGGTGTCAGCCCAATTTTAACCTCGAGAGCACGAAAAATTCTTCCCATTATTCACAACGTCTGTTCAATTCAAACAATAATGGCGACTGCTTCTGCGCAGGCACAGCTTCCCGTTTTCAATAACATAAATTTTATTAAATACAGTATGGCCATCTATTTACATATAACTACTGTATTTCTGGAAAATATATACAGTATTTCCACATATATGATTTTTCATTTTAATCGGCTTTTTCAATATGTAAAACAGCAGTGGTGTGACCCTTGTGGGTTTAGCGCTTAGATATAATTATAATAATCTCAAAATACATTTAATTACAGATCTGTTTTTGAAAAGGTTATATGACCTTTGTAAGCTTAGTACTTCCCCAGATTAAAATAAAAAAAAATGCTTCTGAAAAGGGCAAAGGCCTTGTTTTATATCATTTATTAATATGGAGATAATCTAATCAATATTTCTGGTATATACATTAAGGCAGAGGAACTGTGAGAGTTACAAATATTGTTATCTCTGTTACTCGTGAACCCCTCATGGAAGGTTCCTTGATGTTGGTGAGGGGCTCTTGATTTAGGGAATTGGATCTGTGCTCCAGTTCCCAGAATTAAGCCTGAATGCCTTCCACATCCCCCATCCCCCTGGGCGCTGTATAATCCTATGGGTTTAGCGCTTCCCCCTTGATTATAATAATAATAATATTACTCGTGAAAGAAGTAAGTGACCGATTTGTATCGTCACTTGTATCAGGCAGGAAATGTTGCGCCCGAGGATGGACTAAATGTATTTCTGTCAATTACAATTTTAAATATTTTATGCAGTTGTTTTTATATTTAACCAGGTTCGCTGTATTTTTTTTTTCAATTACTGACTTTAAAACGTACGGGTAAGTATAAATAAATGATTATGTTTTTACATAATACAGTTCGGCAACTTTTGGAAGGGCAAACAATAAGTTTCAGGACTTGACAACGAGACAGAGAGGCAGTGTATGTCTGACTAGTTTGGTGCCATGACTTTCACCACTATAAGCCAGGAGGACTTGGTGACTGCTCTCAAAGAGGGCCGCGTAGATAAAGTGACCTCACTCCTACAGAACGACCCCGATTTTCTGACAACACCGGAGCCACAACCATGGCTACACCTTGCCATAAATGCCCCTGCCAATTGCCGTCGATTACTTCGCTTGCTTCTAGAAGCGGGTCTTTCGACGGATATCCCCGACAAAGCTGGAGTCACTGCTCTTCACTTGGCAGCTAATAAAGGCCGCGTGAAGTGCCTTCAGGAGCTTTTGCAGTGGAAGGCCAGTGTTGACATCAGAGATGATATAGGTCACACCCCCTTGCACTACGCCACCTTCAGTCGTCACAGGAAAGCTTTAACTTGCATTCATTTGCTAATTCGGGCAGGAGCTTCTCGTAATGTCCGCACTAATAAAGGATTCACTCCTCTTCACGTTGCAGCAGAAGTTGGCAACGTTGCTGCTGCAAGAGCTCTCTTGGATGAAGGGGCGTCGCCTACTGTCACAGACAACATAGGAAGGACATCTCTGCACTTAGCATCCACGACTGAAATGGTGGAAATTCTGCTGTCTGCTGGCGCTGATGTGACATGGGAAGACGCTGAGGGTGTCACTCCTTTAGACAGAGCCATCCATCACTTCCCTGCTCTCGCCCCCACATTACTGGGCGCCGGTGTGGCAGTTCAGGGCGATCGTCAAGACAGTGATCTCCGTGTGTTCTTCCACTTTAATATCATCAGTAGACAACAAAGCGAGGTTAAGCTATTAAACACCATGTCACATAAGGGTCATTACGATCTCTTAAAGCATCCACTGTGTGAAACATTCTTACATCTGAAATGGCTTCTCGTTTACCCACTTCTTTACCTCAAGTGGATAATATTTACAGGAGTGGTAGCATCACTGACTGCAAGCGTGTGTCTTAGGGCAAGCCTACCCTTTCCTCAGACTACTGAGAGTGACAAAGCTTGGCGAGACAATAACTACAGCGTGTTAACCTCTATTATAGTGCTACAGGTGGTGTCAGCTTTTCTTCTTGCTCTGTTGGTAGCGAGAATGGTCATGCAGATGTTGGTACTAAGGTCTCTCTTGTGGCGCCGAGTGGATAAATGTATGGAGTTGGTGTTTACTGTATGCTCGGCGATTCTCCTGGCGATGAAGGGGCCCCTAGAGCATTGGGAACGTCACCTGGGGACTCTCACCCTTCTGCTGGGCTGGTATAATGTCACCGTCCTTGTCGGCGACATCCCTTCAGTTGGTATTTACGTCCAAATGTTTCATACCGTGAGTAACCCCATTCATTATAGTGTTTAGAGAAGGGTGAAATAATGTCATTATATTTTAAAATTTAATACATCACAAGAATATAAAATTAATACTACTAACGCATTACAAAAATATAAAATTAATACCATTAATATTTGAGAACACTAAATGCTTTTTAACTAAGGTTCACCACTTTATACATATCTCATGCTCAATATATAATGTAAGCAGCTCCTCAATAAATATAATGATTATGATTTTAAACATGTTGAAAAACTGCTGAACTGCCTAGTGCATATCTGGCAGGCCTCTTGTATTCATGCATAACAGACATAAACGATAGTCATAATTCTTACATCAAGATACGATAAGTCTCTTAAGTCTGTCCAACAGAAATTCTTGTGTTGTTCCAGGGGCATAGAAGTGTAACGAAAGACTTCGAATTAGGAACCCCACAGGGAGGTATGCTCAGTCCAACCTTATTCAATTTTCTAGTTAATGCTTTACTAAATGCCAGCTTTACTAGTCAGCCCGATCGTTATATGATTAGCTTTGCTGCTGATATAATGATTCACACCACCGGATTTTCCAACACCCAAATGTACTAGCCGCCTGTCAGGACCTGGGGTTGATTATCTCCACTGAGAAACCCCTCAAGGAAGGTTCCTTGATGTTGGTGAGGGGCTCTTGATTTAGGGAATTGGATCTGAGCTCAGTTCCCGATTAGCGAATCTCCACATCCCCCCCAGGCGCTGTATAATCCTCCGGGTTTAAGCGCTTCCCCTTGATTATAATAATAATAATCCCTGAGAAACTAAGATACTCGCAGGCGTCCTCGACAAGAGGTAAGTTCGCGGATCCAGTAGCTGTATTCCCTTTTCAAACCTTAACCCTCAGGGAGGTTCTTGCTCTGGTGAGGGCTCTGATCTAGGGATTGGATTGTGCTCTGTTCCCCAATGAGACTTACTTTCTCCTACCCCCCACGTGCGCTGTATAATCTTACGGGTTTAGCACTTCCCCATGATTATAATAATAATAATTATAATAATAATAATAATGTACCCTTACACAGGATCGGTTTTTTACTTCAGGTGATAAAATATGTCACCTTGGAGATTTCAATAGACCAATGAGGATTGTGGAAAATTGCATTTATCTGAATGTATCATTATATACATAACAGTAAATGAACATAGATAATTATTATTTATCAGTTAGACAAGTAGGAATTTGGGACACCTAGGTCGCAAAAAATGTCCCCCTTCAATATCTACCACTGTCATATCCACAAGTTGCTCTGGACCTATTAATTAAATGAAATATACGTCACCAGGAATGTTTACCTGGAGTTTACCTGGAGAGAGTTCCGGGGGTCAACGCCCCCGCGGCCCGGTCTGTGACCAGGCCTCCTGGTGGATCAGAGCCTGATCAACCAGGCTGTTACTGCTGGCTGCACACAAACCAACGTACGAGCCACAGCCCGGCTGATCAGGAACCGACTTTAGGTGCTTGTCCAGTGCCAGCTTGAAGACTGCCAGGGGTCTGTTGGTAATCCCCCTTATGTATGCTGGGAGGCAGTTGAACAGTCTCGGGCCCCTGACACTTATTGTATGGTCTCTTAACGTGCTAGTGACACCCCTGCTTTTCATTGGGAGGATGTTGCATCGTCTGCCAAGTCTTTTGCTTTCGTAGTGAGTGATTTTCGTGTGCAAGTTCGGTACTAGTCCCTCTAGGATTTTCCAGGTGTATATAATCATGTATCTCTCCCGCCTGCGTTCCAGGGAATACAGTTTTAGGAACCTCAAGCGCTCCCAGTAATTGAGGTGTTTTATCTCCGTCATGCGCGCCGTGAAGGTTATCTGTACATTTTCTAGGTCAGCAGTTTCACCTGCCTTGAAAGGTGCTGTTAGTGTGCAGCAATATTCCAGCCTAGATAGAACAAGTGACCTGAAGAGTGTCATCATGGGCTTGGCATCCCTCGTTTTGAAGGTTCTCATTATCCATCCTGTCATTTTTCTAGCAGATGCGATCGATACAATGTTATGGTCCTTGAAGGTGAGATCCTCCGACATGATCACTCCCAGGTCTTTGACGTTGTGTTTCGCTCTATTTTGTGGCCAAATTTGTTTTGTACTCTGATGAGATTTAATTTCCTCATGTTTACCATATCTGAGTAATTGAAATTTCTCATCGTTGAACTTCATATTGTTTTCTGCAGCCCACTGAAAGATTTGGTTGATGTCCGCCTGGAGCCTTGCAGTGTCTGCAATGGAAGACACTGTCATGCAGATTCGGGTGTCATCTGCAAAGGAAGACACGGTGCTGTGGCTGACATTCTTGTCTATGTCAGATATGAGGATGAGGAACAAGATGGGAGCGAGTACTGTGCCTTGTGGAACAGAGCTTTTCACCGTGCCTGCCTCGGACTTTACTCTGTTGACTACTACTCTCTGTGTTCTGTTAGTGAGGAAATTATAGATCCATCGACCGACTTTTCCTGTTATTCCTTTAGCACGCATTTTGTGCGCTATTACGCCATGGTCACACTTGTCGAAGGCTTTTGCAAAGTCTGTATATATTACATCTGCATTCTTTTTGTCTTCTAGTGCATCTAGGACCTTGTCGTAGTGATCCAATAGTTGAGACAGACAGGAGCGACCTGTTCTAAACCCATGTTGCCCTGGGTTGTGTAACTGATGGGTTTCTAGATGGGTGGTGATCTTGCTTCTTAGGACTCTTTCGAAGATTTTTATGATATGGGATGTTAGTGCTATCGGTCTGTAGTTCTTTGCTGTTGCTTTACTGCCCCCTTTGTGGAGTGGGGCTATGTCTGTTGTTTTTAGTAACTGTGGGACGACCCCCGTGTCCATGCTCCCTCTCCATAGGATGGAAAAGGCTCGTGATAGGGGCTTCTTGCAGTTCTTGATGAACACAGAGTTCCATGAGTCTGGCCCTGGGGCAGAGTGCATGGGCATGTCATTTATCGCCTGTTCGAAGTCATTTGGCATCAGGATAACATCAGATAGGCTTGTGTTAACCAAATTCTGTGGCTCTCTCATAAAAAATTCATTTTGATCTTCGACTCTCAGTCTGGTTAGTGGCTTGCTAAAAACTGAGTCATATTGGGATTTGAGTAGCTCACTCATTTCCTTGCTGTCATCTGTGTAGGACCCATCTTGTTTAAGTAAGGGCCCAATACTGGACGTTGTTCTCGACTTTGATTTGGCATAGGAGAAGAAATACTTTGGGTTTCTTTCGATTTCATTTATGGCTTTTAGTTCTTCCCGCGATTCCTGACTCCTATAAGATTCCTTTAGCTTAAGTTCGATGTTTGCTATTTCTCTGACCAGTGTCTCCCTACGCATTTCAGATAGATTGACCTCTTTTAGCCGCTCTGTTATTCTTTTCCGTCGCCTGTAAAGAGAGCGCCTGTCTTTCTATTTTACATCTACTCCTCCTTTTTCTTAGAGGAATAAGTCTTGTGCATACATCGAGTGCCACCAAGTTAATCTGTTCTAGGCATAAGTTGGGGTCTGTGTTGCTTAGTATATCTTCCCAGCTTATATCGGTTAGGACTTGGTTTACTTGGTCCCACTTTATGAATGCTGGTAAATATATAAATTTGTGGACTGTATATTAAAATTAAAAAAGGATTATAGTATATACATTTATATAACAGAAGGAGAATATATCTTAATCATAACACTCACCAGTTTGACTGGAGATTAAGTTGTATCATACTCAGAAAACCTCACTGTCTATACATGAAAATAACAACTGGCCAGAATTATAACATAACAGACTTATCTGAGGTTCCTGGAGCTGTCTTGTCCAGTCGCCTGATATCTCAAGTTATGCAGGACTGCACTTCCAACAATTTTGCCTCCTATTTGAGAGTGTCAACCCAATTTTAACCTCTAAAGCACGAAAAAATCTTCCCATTACACTAACGTTTACTTGGCTCATTCAAACCAAAATGGCGACTGCCCATCTTTTAAAAATACACTTTTATTAAATGCAATATAGGGCATCTATTTACCTATAAATTACCGTATTTCCGGAAAATATACAGTATTTTCCACAAGGATATTGACATATATTCCACTAAGGATTCAACAGCTTTGAAGGCTTCGTTTACCGAAGCTGGAGTTACTACGCTTGGGAATTACCATTTCTCAAGATGGCCTGTTCCACACAGGATATCGTTATCGTTAAAGAGAGACAAGAAAAACTATAAAGCAAAATAAAATTTATAATAATATATAACATCCATATACATATAACTACATGGGCTACATCGGCTCCCAAGGAACCAACATCCAGGAGAGAAGGATCCACAAACATCCTGTCAACATCCACTATAATGTCATTATCGCCACAAAATGTAGGCAACGCTTACTCATGCAAACAAAGCAGTGACATACTTTCCTATATGCTGCACTGTTATGTGGAGATATTCAAAGCTATCCAAGATAGGAAAAGTGGATATATTCAAAACAATCTAAGACCTAAAACGCGGTGATAGTGAAAGTAATCCATGATCCGAAACAAAGAGATATTAAAAAAAAATCCACGACCTGAAACGTGAAGATATTCAAAGTAATCCACGATCTGAAACATGGATATATTGAAAATAATCCGTGACCAGAAACGTGGAGATATTCAAAGCAATCCAGGACCGGAAATGCGGAGATATTCAAAGTAATCCAGAACTTGAAACGAAGAGATATTCAAAGCAATCCAGGACCGGACACGGAGATATTCAAAACAATCCGCGACCTGGAATGTGGATTCAGAACAATCCGCGACCTGGAATGTGGATTCAGAACAATCTGCGACCTGGAATGTGGATTCAGAACAATCCTCGACCTGGAATGTGGATTTAGAACAATCCTCGACCTGGAATGTGGATTCAGAACAATCCTCGACCTGGAATGTGGATTCAGAACAATCCGCGACCTGGAATGAGCGTGACGATGCATAAAAGGCACGTGGAATGTCCTTTTGTTCACTGAGGTATTGGGAAAATAATTTGTAGGCTCACCATTACCTGTGATTTAAGTGAAATGTGAGTACATGCGAAATGTAAGAATTTCATAAATGATGATCAGGTAGAAAACAACAAACTCTTGTCATAAATTCTGTAGTAAACTAGCTAGTCTCACCTGAAAAACAGGAAGCAGATTAAGAAAGCTTGTACTACCGAATCGGAATCCTTGCAGGTATTATGTGGAACTCCATAATGTAGCATCATGCCTATTCTTTCTTGTGCATTGTGAATGACATGACGATTAGTGTGAAATGCAAATTCTACTAGTGGGTCTTTCAGTGTATGTCCAGAGATTAAGCTTATCACTCGACTATATATACCCGGATCCTAGAGTTGTTTGTATTCACCTAATTGTGGTTGCAGGGGTCGATACTCAGCTCCTGGCCCCGCCTTTTCAATGATTTTTTTTTTTTACACAGGGTTTGACAAGGTTAAGGATCCCTAGCTTTATTGACAGCTATTTACAGGTTAAGGATTCCTAACTTTATTTGCAAGCTAAGAGCTGTTACCTACATCAGCTCATTTGAAAGCATTTTTATTGTTATGAGACATACAAGTAGGGAACAGGATGAAGTTGGAGCCATCTGTGGGCCAGCATTTTCATTTGATCAACTGACTTTATCTCGTTGACATCATTATGCTCTCTCTCTCTCTCTCTCTCTCTCTCTCTCTCTCTCTCTCTCTCTCTCTCTCTCTCTCTTCTCTTGCCCTCTCTCTCTCTTCTTCGCTCTCTCTCTCTCTCTCTCTCTCTCTCTCTCTGCTCCCTGAGCTTTGCCATACCTCGTCTTAAAGCTATGTATGGCTCCTTCTTCTCAGTGTGTATGTACTGAGCTCATTTTGATCCCTCTTTTTGTGATTTAAGTATTCTTGACTGGTGAAGAGGTAATATACAGCCTTAATGATCCTCGTTTAATCGAGAGGCTTTAAACTTAGTTAACTAACCAACTTTATCCTTATATTAGGTATTAGACTGGTTGTGTACAGGTGATACGCAGCCTTAATGACAATTATGCGTTCGATAGGATTAAAATCAAACAAGCCAACATACCAGTAAACCAGGAAAATATAGTGGTATAACCAAGCTGTGTTATGACGATGATGGTTATTCCTGTTACATTCTTAAAGCTTGTAGATAAAGCATGAAATTCACACGAAGTATTGCATGTTGCAGGTTGCAAGAAGGATAATTAAATTCACAGCTGTGTTCTCGTCACTGATCATTGGCTTTGCTATCAGTTTCCACTTGGCATTTGAAAAGGCAGAGGCATTCCAAACTGTCTGGTTGTCTAGCCTCAAGGTGCTTGCCATGATGGTGGGAGAACTAGACTTTCATGAGATCTTAGGAACCAACGCCTCGCAAGCCCTACCAGGTAAGCAATATTCAACTTATATAATAATGATTCATTTATTATGCATATCTTATTCCACTTAAAGTAAAAAAAAATGTAAATGTTGCCACAAAAAGGATTGAGTCAAAAGCTTTTGCCTTTACTGAATTAAAATCCAAAAAGAATACTCATATATACATAATGTATTATTAATCTTATTTCATTAAAACACTGGATGCAGAGAATATTGGGAATAGTGTTTATTAACGAAGTTTGTGTGGATATATTCCAGTGACATCAGAAGTAGTGTTTGTGGCGTTTGTGTTGCTCATAACAATAGTCATCGCAAATCTACTGGTCGGCCTCGCAGTCCAGGTTGGTTCTCTACTGCATTACCCATTATGTACCTCTGTAATCCTTTGACTACCACCCACAGGATGGGTATGTGGTGCATAATAAAGATGCTAAACGTAAACTAACAAATATCCTTTCTAATCCATTATGTACCTCTGTAATCGGTAAATACCTTTGTAACTTGTCATGATTGTGACTAGACCTACCTGGAGTTCATTACCTTTGTAAATTGTGAATTCATTACCTTTGTAAATTGTGAATTCATTACCTCTGTAACTTACTCAGCTATCAAAACTTCGAGGCCCAGTCCCTGGACCCATTATGTACCTCTGTAATCTTTTGACTACCGCCCACAGGATGGGTATGGGGTGCATAATAAACATATTAAACTAACTAATCCAAATTTATCTAACTGGAATTATTCCTGCGCATCCAGTCTTTGATATTTTCAACACACCTAATTGATTCTTCCTCTTATTCTCATTATTATTGTTGTTATTATTAAAACAAGTAGTAAACACGTACGAGTCATACAGCAAATTGTGGACTTGCGTATAATGGTTTATACTATTTTGAAAGGACCCCAATGGAAATAAGTCACTCTGACTTTTTTGGGTTATCCCAGGTTCTCTGCACATATGCTGCTATGTATGATAATCTATGTAACTGTATTTGTGTATCCCTGAATAAACTTACTTGAATACTTCTTGCACACAGGATATCCACGATTTATGGAAGGTTGCTGGTGTGCGTCGCCTGGCACTCACTGTGGAACATGAAGCCTCGGTGGATCTAATGTTATCTTCTCGCCTCTTCACTTGCTTATTATCCCACAAGCTCTTGGCTCACTTGACCAAACGGTTTTCACTTCTGCAACAATTCCCATCAAGATTTCTCTCTCTGTTAACCCCAAGAAAACATACACTGGCAACCTTGCAATGGTGGACATTTAAAGAAGCAGGTAAAATTATAATGCAAAATGTTATACTGCTGTTGTTATTATCATCATCATCATCATCATCATCATCATCATCATCATCATCATCATCATCATCATGGGAAAGTTCTCAACCGGTAGGTTTACACAATCAGGTTTGATCTTAGAACGGAAGGGTAGCTCCAGTTTCTTGGATTAAGAGCCCTTAACCACCCTCGTGGCATCCCCTATGAGAGAAATGCTATTAAACTTAAAATTACAGTACATACAATATTATTAGATTCATAAGGAATACTAAACTAGTATTATTATATTTCAAAACAAACTACCTATTGGTAGTTACGGAAGTTTAGTTTAATATGTTTATTATGCGCCCCAAACCCATCCTGTGGGCGGTAGTCAAATGATTACAGAGGTACATAATGGGTCCAGGGACTGGGCCCCAAAGTTTTGATAGCTGAGCAAGTTACAAAGGTAATGGACTCGCAAGTTACAAAGTAATGAATCATGTTACAATCATGAACAAATTGTATAGTAATGAGCAATTCACACGTCCACACCCGGTCACAACTGTAATGAGTTATTAGTACAAATATTGTTGGGTCACACACACACACACACACACACACACACCACACACACACACACACACACACACACACACACACACACACACACACCACACACACACACACACACACACACACACACACACACACACACACGAAGAAAGGTTAAAGGAAATCAGTCAGACGACACTGGAGGACAGGAGGGTTAGGGGTGACGTGATAACGACATACAAAATACTGCGTGGAATAGATAAGGTGGACAGAGACAGGATGTTCCAGAGATGGGACACAGAAACAAGGGGTCACAATTGAAAGTTGAAGACTCAGATGAGTCAAAGGGATGTTAGGAAGTATTTCTTCAGCCATATAGTTGTTATGAAGTGGAATAGTCTGGCAAGTGATGTAGTGGAGGCAGGAACCATACATAGTTTTAAGACGAGGTATAATAAAGCTCATGGTGCAGGGAGAGGGAGGACCTAGTAGCGGTCAGTGGAGAGGCGGAGCCAGGAGCTGAGTCTCGACCCCTGCAACCACAGTTAGGTGAGTACACACATACACACAAATGAGTACACACACACACACACACACACACACACACACACACACACACAGATGATGCAGATGATGTGAAGTTAATGAGAAGAATCAAATCGGATGAGGATCAGGCAGGACTACAAAGAGACCTGGACAGGCTGCAAGCCTGGTCCAGCAACTGGCTCCTTGAGTTTAACCCTGCCAAATGCAAAGTCATGAAGATTGGGGAAGGGCAAAGAAGACCGCAGGCACAATATAGTTTAGATGGCCAAAGACTGCAAACCTCACTCAAGGAAAAAGATCTGGGGGTGAGTATAACACCGAGCATATCTCCTGAGGCGCACATAAATCAGATAACTGCTGCAGCATACGGGCGCCTGGCAAACCTACGGATAGCGTTCCGATACCTCAGTAAGGAGTCGTTCAAGACCCTGTATACCATTTACGTCAGGCCCATACTGGAGTATGCAGCACCAGTTTGGAATCCACACCTAGTCAAGCACGTCAAGAAATTAGAGAAAGTGCAAAGGTTTGCAACAAGACTAGTCCCAGAGCTACGGGGATTGTCCTACGAAGAAAGGTTGAGGGAAATTGGCCTGACGACACTGGAGGCCAGGAGGGTCAGGGGAGACATGATAACGACATATAAAATACTGCACGGAATAGACAAGGTGGACAAAGACAGGATGTTCCAGAGATGGGACACAGACACAAGAGGTCACAATTGGAAGTTGAAGACTCAGATGAATCGAAGGGATGTTAGGAAGTATTTCTTCAGTCATAGAGTAGTCAAGTCATGGAATAGTCTAGAAAGTGAAGTAGTGGAGGCGGGAACCATACATAGTTTTAAGGCGAGGTATGATAAAGCTCATGTAGCAGGGAGAGAGAGGACCTAGTAGCAATCAGTGAAGAGGCGGGGCCAGGAGCTATGAATCGACCCCTGCAACCACAAATAGGTGAGTACAAATAGGTGAGTACACACCAGTTTGGAATCCACACCTAGTCAAGCACGTCAAGAAATTAGAGAAAGTGCAAAGGTTTGCAACAAGACTAGTCCCAGAGCTACGGGGATTGTCCTATGAAGAAAGGTTGAGGGAAATCGGCCTGACGACACTGGAGGCCAGGAGGGTCAGGGGAGACATGATAACGACATATAAAATACTGCGCGGAATAGACGAGGTGGACAAAGACGGGATGTTCCAGAGATGGGACACAGACACAAGAGGTCACAATTGGAAGTTGAAGACTCAGATGAATCAAAGGGATGTTAGGAAGTATTTCTTCAGTCATAATAGAGTAGTCAGGCCATGGAATAGCCTAGAAAGTGATGTGGTGGAGGCAGGAACCATACATAGTTTTAAGGCGAGGTATGATAGAGCTCATGGGGCAGGGAGAGAGAGGACCTAGTAGCAATCAGCAAAGAGGCGGGGCCAGGAGCTGTGACTCGACCCCTGCAACCACAAATAGGTGAGTACACACACACACACACACACAAACACACAAGTAGGTGAGTACACACACACACACACACACACAGAATAGCCTAACAAGTGATGCAGTGGAGGCAGGAACCATACGTAGCTTTAAGACGAGGTATGACAAAGCTCTGGAAGCAGAGAGAGAGGACCTAGTAGCGATCAGTGAGGAGGCAGAGCCAGGAGCTGTCTCTCGACCCCTGCAACCACAATTAGGTGAGTACAAATAGGTGAGTACACACACACGAGCGTAGCAAAGCTAATTTGCTCGAGGTGTCTTGTCAGTCTTCGTTGCTTAAGTAATCATATATTTTTAATTTTCATTTATCACTTAGTGCCACATCTTGTAGTTCTTTCTGTTATTCAGGAAAAGTTTTATGTTATTCTTTGTGCACCTTCTTTCCTTGATTCTATAACTGTTTTCATCATTATTTCGATAATTATGAGGAACCTCTAAACCAATAAGGAGCCATACATTGTGTTTGCATCAAGTCTTCGATTTTTTCCTACTGCTGGTACTAAAAAATCATATTTATCAATTTTATTATGACCTTGTGATAATCATATCTCATCTTTCATGGTCTAAGTGGTTATCATATCATGTTTACGTATTTAAAAAAAAACATTGTATTATTTTCATCTTTTCTTCATAATTCACATTTTAGGTAAAATTTATAACACAGTAGAACATAAATTGGATGTATCAGATGTATCTTAAGACCATTTTAGCAAGGCGGTTTAAAAAAAAATTCTCTATTTTAACAGCCTATAAAAAATATGGACAGATGAACCGCTTCAACGTTTTTATACGTCCATATGACCCAGTCGACCCTGAGCAAGTATATTGCAAAATATCCCGCAAACAAGAGGGGATTCCTTCCGGCTACAAGCTACCATCTTGGATAATCAGAAACACCAAAATCTTCCTTGAGAATGGTATCCGTCTGGGCACAAGTCGTGCAGAGTTAGTGCAGAGTTATGATAGTGATGAGAGTAGTAATTGTGAAGGTGAGGACAGTATTAATGACAATAGTAGTTGGGATGCGATTACTGAGGATAGTTTTAGTGAAGGTGACAACCTTATGATTACAGGTTTTGATACTATTGATGCTGTTGCTAATAAGACTAATGATATTCTTAATATTTCCAGTGAAAGTGATCATTTATCCTTAGTTAAACTTCAGGATCAAATAAATGACTTAAAACAATCCATAGCAAATATAAATTATCTCGCCGAGGGAAACTGCAAAGTTAAATACGAGACAACGATATAATTTTTTTTTATTTTGTATGGTGCCCTCGAACTGTCTACTAAATATGACTGTGTGACCCTGGTGGGTTTCGCGCTTAGTTTTGATAATAATAATTCACTAAATGTGTATGAAATGTCATCCATAAGGTAGTCCCTTTATAAATGTAACTTCAGCTTTGTTGGAAGGATATCTTGGAAGCTCTCTAAACTTAATATACTGCGGCCAGTAATAACAGCCTGGTTGACCGGGCACTAGTCCAACGCGATGCCTGGTCACAGACCGGGTCGAGGGGTCGTTGACCCCGGAACCCTCTCCAGGTACATTATATATATATATATATATATATATATATATATATATATATATATATATATATATATATATATATATATATATATATATATGTATGTATAAAGAACTCAACCTATATGATGGAGCATGCCCTGAAAAACCATCCCGAGTGATCGGTGACGGGTAGTACAACACAGGAGTCACATGATTTCATCGTCTACCCGTCCTCATCATAGGTAGAGGTTGTTTTGATAAGGACCTGCCTCGCATGGGCCAGCAGGCCTTCTACAGTGTTCCTCCATTCTTATGTTCTTATGACATTCCTCAGGTCACGTGCATCACATCTCACTCTCCGCCTATATATATATAATGTCTTTCTACATCTGTATGTTAGAAGTGATCAAGGTCCCAGGACCGAAACGTTTTCTAATAAATATGTTATAGTGTTTGCTTACGTGTCTTTCTAAACCAACTTGTCGGTATTTATTACCAAGGTTTATACCACGGGTAGTAAGTAAATCTAGTTCATGCTCAATCCTCGAATATTTTTTGTTTCATGGGAAAGCGCTGACCACGTAAGGATCATAGTCAAAACTAAGTGCTAAACCCACAAGGGTCATGCAAAACCTGGGAAGTGGGTACCAGTCAGGTTCGATCTCAGGAAGGGTAGGGCAAGTCCAACTCACTGGATCAAGAGCCCTTCACCAGTATAAAGTAACTTTCTTCGAGGGGAACATGTAATTTGCCTAAGTTAACAGATTTTAGCCTGTAAATTCAGAGTAAACCAAAAATATAAAGTATTTGTAGTTGCAGTCATGCACAGGTTATTAAATGTGCTATAACGTTACATAAGGTCATTTTATGCTATATGCACAGTAATACATATTAACAGTGTACAATATTTTATTTATATTTAAATAAAGTGCTTTATGACAAAACTTTTGTTCTCGTGACTAGTTTCTTGTTACTCCATTAATATTATTACTGTGTAATCATGGTAAATATTGAACCCATTGGGGTCGCACATTTCTATTGTTGTCCTGTTCATTGAAAATAACGAGCCCTTAGGATCATACAGCTTTTTTATTATTATTATTATAATCAAGGGGGAAGCACTAAACCCATAGGATTATACAATGCTTGGGGGAGGGATGGAAGGTATTCAGGCTTAATTCAGGGAACTGGAGCACATATCAGTTCCCTAGATCAAGAGCCCCTCACCAGCATCAAGGAACCTTGAGGGGACAGCTTTTTTAGGCAGGCGGAAGGGTGGTGGGAGATAGGGAAGAATATTGGCTGAAGGGATGGGGAAGATGAGTGACCCAAGCTAATACACAGGGGGGAGTGTTAAACCTGTTGGGGGTCATACATCGCCTGGGGAAATGAGTGAATTAGGTTTAATCCAAGGATGGGGAAACCAGTTCAATTTTTTTTTGGATCCAAAACCCCTCACCTGCATCAAGGAACTTACCTCGTGTAATGTAAGAAAAGAAAATCAGTAAGTTCAGTAGTGATGGGGCCATTAGAGGGAAAAGGTAGATAAAGCAATGTCTGTACTGGAGAAAGTGCATGAAAAAGTTTGCTTTCAAATGAATGGGACATTATAATCAACACTAAGTGCTAAACCCAGTAGGGTTATATAGCACCTAGGGGAGTGGGAGGTAATCAGAGTCGATCCAAGGAAATTCTTATTCTTTGGATCAAGAGCCTTTCACCCACTAATGTGTGTGAAAGGCACCCTTGACGAGTAAAAGGTAAATTACAGCAGTATTATTACTGTATATTAAAAAAAAGTCACTTAACATTCATTTTTCGCTACAAAGGATGTCACAGGAAAGCTTGGAAGGTGTGAAGCGTGTTTTGAGAGGCATATGTGAGCATATTACATCGGATTTTTTTTTTTTTTTTTTTTTTTTGGGTTGGGGGGATATAACATCTTTACGCATAAGTAAGGTAAAGTAATATTTACAGTAATAAATAAATAAACACACACCCTGGTCAAGCAGTGATATAGTGGAGGTAGGTTCCATACATAACTTTAAGAAGATACAATAAACTTCATGGAGCGGGGCGTGTGTGGACCTATTAGCGACCAGCAAAAATGTGGGTCCAGGAGCTGACACTCTACCCCTGCAACCACAAATAGGTGAGTACATCCCTCCTACCCAGTGTCATCAGGTTGAGTTCTTTTAACCTCTCCCCATAGGACATACCCTTTAGCTTCAGCACTGTTCTTCTTGGAAACCTCTGCACTTTCTCCAGTTTTTTGATGTGCTTGATCAGGTGTAGGTTCCATACTGGTGCTGTGTACTCCAATTTGGGCTTTGACATACATGGTGTAGCACATCTTCCAAATCTTCTTCCTCAAATATTACCAAAACATCACTCAAGTATATGGACTGGAAGAACCTCTTGCAGACTGCAATAATTCCCTGATCTATTGGCTGGATCACAGTGGTGGTATTAGGGGGTAGAAACATGGCCTTGATTTTACTATCATTAATACAGTGGACCCCTGACTTAGGATATTAATCCGTTCCTGAGAGCACATCGTAAGACGAAATTATCGTAAGTCGAATTAATTTTCCCTATAAGAAATAATGGAAATCAAATGAATCCGTTCAAGACACCCAAAAGTATGAAAAAAAAAATTACCACATGAAATATACATTTTCCTACACACAAAAGAAGGATACATGCACAATATATATTGTGCATGTACTAGTGATGAGTGATGAGACACTGGGAGTGCCTCTTCCTCCTGAGTAATGTAGGTCCTGTTTGGCATTTTCTTCTAGAACAGGCCTTGTCACACTGTGTATGCCACTATGATTCTTAAATCTCTCAAACCAACCTTTGCTAGCCTTAAATTCACCAATATGAGCACTAGTCCCAAGGCATTTTTTCCTGTTCACCTGGGTGTTAGTCGACTGGTGTGGGTTGCATCCTGGGGGACAAGATTAAGGACCCCAATGGAAATAAGTTAGACAGTCCTCGATGACACACTGACTTTCTTGGGTTATCCTGGGTGGCTAACCCTCTGGGGTTAATTGTTTTTCAGTATTCTCGATAAGCCACACCAATAACACTCTCCACATCTTCGAGTAGTACAGCTGATGGTGCTACAGCAGCAGCAGCAGCAGCAGCAGCAGCTGACCATGGTGCAGCAGCTGCTGATGGTGCTACAGAAACATTAGCTGATGGTGCTACAGCAGCAGCAGCAGCAGCTGACGGTGCTACAGCAGCAGTAGCAGCTGACCGTGGTGCAGCAGCAGCTGACTGTGGTACGATAGTATTTCAATAGTATTTCCCACAGGGTTGGCACTAGAAGCTTTCTTTGGGCCCATGGTGGCTTATTTAGCAGTTACAAGCACTAAAAACACTGGAATAATACAAAATTTATCGAATGTATGTGTGCAACCATCCACCCCAGCTTGTAAAAAATGTCACACTAGCTCAGCTGAGGCGCTTAGGCCAGACGGGCCAGACAGCCGCATTCGGGATGAATGATGTAAGTCGAGTTTTTCAACGTAGGTCAGGGTCAAATTTTTATGCTGACAAGCATCGTAAGTCGATTTTAACATAGGTTGAGGACATCGTAAGTCGGGGGTCCACTTTACTTAACTATTCAGCAAAAGAAGCCTTGACTATGTCAGGCTCAAGTTTAAGGTTCTCTAGCTAGTGCTTGCATACATCAGGGACAAAATCTGTAAAAAAAGTCAGATCAGCCTTTCTTACCTGTATAATATTTGAAAAGCAGCTTTTTCATACAATCCTTTATACATGATTGTCCTGATTTGCTAGTGACCATCACCTTAAAGAAGTGTAACATCAGCATTACTGCAGCAAAACAATGAGAGGTGGTCTTTGCTGAGCTTCCAGCCTAGTGTCTTTTCTTTATGTCGAAAAGCTAAATCAGAATGTTTTATTATTATTATAATCAAAAAGAAGCGCTAAGCCACAAGGGCTATACAGCAATTCAGATATTAGAATCAAAGGAGTTGAGCCTAATATACCAGAGGATAAACAGGGAGCCTACTCGTCAGGATCTTGAAGTAATCACGCTCATTTCAGGGGTATATTAGCACAATTCCAATTTAAGCCTAAATCAAAAATCCCCCTCCCAACATGCAAGGAAACCCACTCTTGAGGAGGAATCCGACAAAAATTAACAGCAAATAGCATGTAACAAACCTGGCCTATAACAGTTAGTTCTATCAATTATATGCTGAGCAAAAGGACATTTTCTATCTCCACTGTATTTATATAATTTGCTTAACAGCTCTCTTCATTGGTGATATTACCAGACAGCTAAGTTTTAATATTAACAGCCATCAGCTATCTTCCAGAGCATCAAATCACCATACTTGGCACCAATTTTGCCCTTTGACTTGCTAATTCTTGTACAAGACTTGAAATAACTAAACAGTGAATTGAACATTAACCTAGCAAGGAATGCTGTTAACAAACCTTGTTGCACTGCTTCAACACTCGTATCTTGACTCATTTTCATGTGCTTTCTAGAACCAGCAAAAGAACATTTTTAGGCTAGTCTCGACACTGTATTTTATAGAATTTGCTTAAAGCTTCTCCTTGCTTCTGAATGTCAGACACTGCTTTGCTACACCATACTCCTCGCACACCTGCGCCACAACTATGCCTTCCTTAACACTCAAATTCACTCACTTCTTGGCACCATCATTTGCTTTTGAGGCTATTGCTAATAGCATTGTACAAAGTACTTTCATAAAATAACAATAAACAATGTGAATCTAGGGAAAATTGAAGACCAAATGATGATAGTATGTGAATGCATGCACAGATAAAAAAAACTGATGTGGGCTGAGCCACTGGCCCTGGTCATCCAAGAACAATGAAAACAGATAGGCCTTGGATGCATCCCATACCAGACAACCCTTCAATGGTACTTCCAGACACCTGTACAGACGACCCTGCAATGCAGTGGACCTGGTCTGCTGCACTGATAATTCTGACACCCCCTGCAGAAGATTCACTGAGCCTTTGTCTGGCCAGATTTTCTGGTCCATTGTTTCCAAAATTCACTGTATATGGATCCATTTTACTATGGTTTTACGGTGCTCTGTATACATATGTATGCAAGCTATATTATGCACACTGTGTTTGAAGAAAATTCTAAATATTTAAATGCCAATTTACAATGTGGGAAAGGTTAATAAAATGTTTTGATAGTATTTATAAAAATTTGTTTTAAATAAATAAAGTCCTTTGCTTGCATTGAAAATTAAGACAAACTCTGAATAAATAATCTTTCTGTAATATCAAGTAAGATTGCAATTTTGACAACACACACATCATATGTCATAGGGGCCATTGTATTTTCATATTAATAATATTCCTAAATTGTACTATACAGTGAAGTACTGTATACTTAATAGGCAATATACACCATACTATAATTCCATATTTGGAACATGTAACAGGTGCAGAATATGAAACCCAGTTACAATGATTGAAGGTGAACATATACACAAGCAACTAGCAGTTTAATAAGAGTTTTACATCAGTAATTGAAATAATATGCTGTACTACTATAGTGGAACCTCTAGTACCATCATTTATCAATTTTCTAACCTTAAGGATCTACAAATTTTTTGATAGGGGCAATTTACTATACTTGGATGTGTTGGCAGTATTAATCATGCTCAACAATGCTACTGAGCAAATCTGCAAATCCAAAGGTACATCTGTACAAAAAGCCCTTAGCCCTAACTATTGCAGATAAGCAAGGCCCTACTGTACCAACAACACCGCCAGGCATGGTATTGGATTTACTTTTTATTTTAGTTTTTTTTAACACACCAGCTGTCTCTCACTCATGCAGAGTGAACTGAAAAAGAAGAAACAAGTTTTCCATCTTTTTTACATTTAGTAATTTATACTAAATCCTAGGAGAAGGGATTACTAGCGCCTTGCTCCAAGCATTTTAAGTCTCCTCATACAACACGTGGCTCATGGAGTAAGGATTCTTTTCTACTTTTAAAATAATTATGTAAAATAATTTCTCTCTTTTTTTATATACTATGGTACTACTATAGCAACAGTAGTAGTTATACTCTATATGCATTTTGGCTGGTAACATCTCTTCTGTCTGCCATAATCAATTACATACTGTACTGTATCCACATAATGCAAGGAAGATGTGTAAACAGAGGTTCCGCTGATAAATATTCCTACAACTGCTCAATATTACTACTAAAATAAAAAAATTTTAAATACAACTACAGTACTTACTACTATAGCTATAAAACACTACAAATACTGTTCTAGATACTATTACAAATACTTCACTAAATGCCACTGCAAATACTGTACTAAATCCTATGACAAATGTTCTACTGTACTATAACCACTACTGAACAATCCTACAACTGCTAAATTCTGCTACAGTAATACTAAACACTAGTTAAAGCTAATATTACAGTAATACCACATACTGATACCAGATAAACTACTGTACTGCCTGTACTAGTTATACAATACTAAATACATTACAAACATACTAAACCCTATTAGATCCTATTACAATAATACTGAATACAGGAGCATTATTAGATCCTCTTACAGTATTACTACCTAATACTTCTGATAGTATGAATATACTATAACTACTGCTACAGTACTACTGCTGCTAACAATAATAATAAAATAAACACAAATAGTAAATAAGCCAATCTATTGATTCTGCTTGCACAATACAACCTAGTTAAAAAAAAATCTGACATGTAACAATTAACACATTGCATTGTTAATTAAGATTCCTTAAACAAAACAGATACATTTTGTGGTTATACTGTAATTCCTCAAAGAAGTGGTTTTTGTATTCAATTATAGGTGACATTCTCAAACAGTTAGTGTATACAATATAGTCTATTAGATACCACTTTTAAACAGTTTTCCAGTTTAGTTTTAGCTTGTAAAAAGTAAACTTATACTTTTCAAGATATTGAAAGCATATGATTCTTAAGAATAACACCTAAAATAACATTTTATAAGGTATATGCATTTACTAAATTACTTACAACCAAGAGCAATATAAAAACTTAAATAGAATGAACCACATATAAAGAAATCCAGTATACCAAATATGTACTACAGTATATCCAAATAATTTTCTTAATTATAATAGGGTTTGTGAAAGAATATTTGCAGTTTTATGTTTGCTGCAGTATGGCCATTAGTGGCATGACCAAAGCCACCGAGAATTAAATTAATGACTGCTAGCAACATGATTCACTGGCAACGTATAATGTTTTGCAAACAACATAAATTTATTCTGAACTGTATATTCAACCTTTCTTCCAGTTCCATACACTGTACTGATATGAGTGGCAGTGATTAAAGCAATATTAATGCACAAATTTTTATTACTATATACACACTTGCTTTTAACTTTCCTTATCACAACATGGAAAGCTACAGTTCCACATTAATTACCAAGTCTGCTGAAAACATCTGTTTTTAATACAATCTTTTCTTCACTCACAATTTCACCTGTTTTTTTGTTTACTTTGACTATCTTCTTAACATATTTTTTGCCTGGAGAAGGACTAGACGATGTTGCAGCTGCTGATACAACAGTTCTTCCTGGTGACAAGGATTTTTTTGACTTTACTGGTGATGAATTAACTTTCAAGCGACTGGAAGAGATACTACTTGATATAGTAGGTTTGGCTGGTGATTTTGATTTACGAGCCTCCTCTGTCTCTCTTGCAAATATTCCGGCACTTGTACAGGAACTGTTTGATGTGATACTCTGGAGCCCTAATCTGCTTTTAATACCTGTTGTTGTATCTGCAGTCATAGTTGCAACTTTAGTCCCTCCTGGATTGGGTACAACTTTTTTCCTGGCAAAACTAGGTTTATCATAACTGTCTTTGGCTGAATACTTCAGGATTCCTTGATACTCCAGTGGCTTTCCAGTACAAGGTTCCCGTTCAGAAGCACCTCCTCCATTTGTGTTGTCATCTTTGTTACCTAATCGCCCAAAAACTGATGGTGATGTTTTTTTACTACTTTCAGCACCAGCAGCTGTACGAATTAAATCCTTCCCATGCATAGTGATTGTAATCTTGGGAGTTTCACTAGTAGTGCTTGTCACAGAGTTATCACCTAAACGATTGAATACAGAACTTCTTTTGTTGGAACCGGATGAATCTTCATCTTCAACTGACCTTTTAATGCCACTACCCAGTCGTGCTGACAAGCTCTGAGAGAGATTGGAGTTACCATTAGGTGGAGAAGGAGGCCCTTCTTTCCGAACATAGTGTTCTAACATTCTAGATGCAGGTGTACTTTTTTTAGTAGATGAATGTGATGCAGCTGTGTCATACTGAGAAGTTTGTGGTGAAGAAGCCTGCAAGACCCTTTGACGAGATAATTGACCCGTAAAAACTTTGGCATGTTTCAGTATTGCTATAACATCCCCCATTACAGTGATGCCCATATCTCTCAAATATTCCCTATTGAGATCCATGAGCATGTCTTGCTTTATACGATTGTCTGTAAAGGTGATGGCATAATTGGTTGCTTCTCCTGCTGGGATTCCTGCCTCAGTGAAGAACTTTAACCAAGTTGAAGTATCACTAATCGAAGACATCTTGATTCACCTGTGGAGAGAAAACTTAGAATCAGCACCTATCTTATTTGTGATTAACATGCAAATTTAAGACTCTTTCTTAACATCTATTGATAAGCCTAACCAGAAATACACTTAATAACCTCCAATGTACTACATAAAACTCAAATGGCACTGGTGCCTTCTTCCCCCCCCCCACCATGTCCCGTACACTCCATCCTTCATTATAACCCCTTCATAACTCCTCTCACTTCCCTTACCCTAATGTACTACTCATGTCTTCCAATACTGCATCCATCTCTCTTGTGAACACTCCTCTACTGCAAATAATCAGTACATAATAACACCTGCACATGTATTGTTTGAAGTGTTTCTAACATCTGCCCAGAGAAAAATCCGATGTTCTCCTGTACCACTAGACAATGGACATAGGCTGATGGCACTCGCCACAAAACTTTATCCACCTATCTTTTATTACATGTTTTTTTTAGTTTTGCTATTATGTGCAGTGTTTGCTTTGTTCCCAGTGGTAATAATAATAATAATAATAATAATAATAATAATAATAATAATAATAATAAAATAATCAAATCATAGAATGGGTGGGGCTCAAACCTATGTCTGGTTAGTGCTAAAACTTGCAGGCCAGTGTGCTAACCATAGGTCAATGCTGGCCTCACAAGATTCAACCAATTAGGCATATTACCATACACCACTGGAATATAAGCATGTGCCCCAAACAGTTGCATAAATCTTATTCCTTCTATCCAGTCCCTCTCATGATAGTCCCTGATTCTGTAGTTACAAGTGTCTCATACCACTGTGGTTAATGCACAAGGGGTCACTACCCAGAGGGACTTATGGTCGAACCCCACATGAGACAGGAGATATGGGCAAGTCTCCTAATGTTTAATGAATTAAGCGAGTACAAATAGGAAAGGTATCTGTCTGGCACTCAGCAGACAGAGGATCAACCCTCCATCATGTCTTGTGCTGAATGACCCACATGGGTTTAGTACCTTACATGAATTGTTTCACTTAATTTTATCCTAATATCTACTGACTCATATTACCTAACAATAAACAGTATTTTAAGTTTATTTACGTATAGGTACACAAAAGTATACAAATTTAAATGACTACTATCATCATACATAATATCTGTTAATTGCCTAGGATAACCCAAAAATTCAAAGTGACTTGTTTCTATTCGGATCCTTATAGGCAGTATCCTGGGGAGGACCTTTAAAAAAATCCCCAACAGAATTAGGCCACACTACTTGACCTTATTGGATTAACCTGAGTCACTAAACCTTCCAGGTCATTAATTCTAATAAGATCTCCTTCAGATATAAAAACAGGACCCCAATGGAAATAAGCCACTTAAACTTTGCTGGGTTACCCCAAGTAATTTACACATACGTTAAACTATGTATGATAAGCGTACTTATGTGTATCTGTACCTAAATAAACTTATTTGCAAACAAGTCACTTTGAGTTTTATGAGTTATTTTAGGTAATGTACACATGCTGCTATCCTGTCTGTCTCAACTATTGGACCACTACGACAAGGTCCTAAATGCACTAGAAGATAAAAAGAATGCAGATGTAATATATACAGACTTTGCAAAAGCCTTTGACAAGTGTGACCATGGCGTAATAGCGCACAAAATGCGTGCTAAAGGGATAACAGGAAAAGTCGGTCGATGGATCTATAATTTCCTCACTAACAGAACACAGAGAGTAGTCGTCAACAGACTAAAGTCCGAGGCAGCTACGGTGAAAAGCTCTGTTCCACAAGGCACAGTACTCGCTCCCATCTTGTTCCTCATCCTCATATGCGACATAGACAAGGATGTCAGCCACAGCACCGTGTCTTCCTTTGCAGATGACACCCGAATCTGCATGACAGTGTCTTCGATTGCAGACACTGCAAGGCTCCAGGCGGACATCAACCAAATCTTTCAGTGGGCTGCAGAAAACAATATGAAGTTCAACGATGAGAAATTTTAATTACTCAGATATGGTAAACACGAGGAAATTAAATCTTCATCAGAGTACAAAACAAATTCTGGCCACAAAATAGAGCAAAACACCAACGTCAAAGACCTGGGAGTGATCATGTCGGAGCATCTCACCTTCAAGGACCATAACATTGTATCAATCGCATCTGCTAGAAAAATGACAGGATGGATAATGAGAACCTTCAAAACTAGGGAGGCCAAGCCCATGATGACACTCTTCAGGTCACTTGTTCTATCTAGGCTGGAATATTGCTGCACACTAACAGCACCTTTCAAGGCAGGTGAAATTGCTGACCTAGAAAATGTACAGAGAACCTTCACGGCGCGCATAACGGAGATAAAACACCTCAATTACTGGAAGCGCTTGAGGTTCCTGAACCTGTATTCGCTGGAACGCAGGAGGGAGAGATACATGATTATATACACCTGGAAAATCCTAGAGGGACTAGTACCGAACTTGCACACGAAAATCACTCACTACGAAAGCAAAAGACTTGGCAGACGATGCAACATCCCCCCAATGAAAAGCAGGGGTATCACTAGCACGTTAAGAGACCATACAATAAGTGTCAGGGGCCCGAGACTGTTCAACTGCCTCCCAGCATACATAAGGGGGATTACCAACAGACCCCTGGCAGTCTTCAAGCTGGCACTGGACAAGCACCTAAAGTCGGTTCCTGATCAGCCGGGCTGTGGCTCGTACGTTGGTTTGCGTGCAGCCAGCAGCAACAGCCTGATTGATCAGGCTCTGATCCACCAGGCGGCCTGGTCACAGACCAGGCCGCGGGGGCGTTGACCCCCGGAACTCTCTCCAGGTAAACTCCAGGTATGATAATTTATATAATTGTATGTATGTATACCTGTCAATGAATAAACTTAACCCAATGGAAATAGTCACTTTGTCTGACTCTTAGGTAATTTACACACATGTTAAAGTATGCTTGATAACTGTACTTATATGTACCTGTATCTAAATAAACTAACTTACACCGGTACTAGAAAATAAGACAAAACTTCCTGAGCATCCACAAACAAACATCCACCCACCACCTCTTAACATTCAAATTAACAACACCGAATCATCCTAAATAACATTAACATCCAGGTTGCATCTCACCTTGAAGGATCGTTGGACCAACTTGGTACAATAATGAAGGTCAGACATAAAAATAAAATCAGCAGCAGCAGCAGCAGAGATATTTAGGGAGTGAAGGTACGCGGCGGCCGCCTCGCCTCCCACCATAATATTACCCTTCATGGCCTCGTGGCTCCCTTTCCCTTCACAATAATAATGTACATAGTAAGTAAATTTATTCAGATATACACAAATACAGCTTCATAGAATTATCATACATAGCAGCATATGTGTAAAGAACCTAGGATAACCCAAACATGTAAGTTAAGTAAGTAAGTAAGTACGTATGCAAGTAAGTAATTACGTGAGTAAAGTAAATAAATAAGATATTTAGGCTTAGGTACACATCAGTACAGTTATCATACATAGTGTAAATTACTAAGGATATTCCCCCCAAAAAGTCATACAAAGTAGCTTATTTCCATTGGGGTCGTTGATTTTAAACATGTGTATTCATATATGTATTTAAATATGTGTATTGTATTCACAAAAAAAAATTCAGACTTGTAAGGGTCTTATAGACAGGTATGTCAGTTGAAAAAAAGATTAATGACTTAATTAAAGTAAAAGAAAGTAATTAAATAAGTCAAGTCAGTAGGCAAGTAAATAGTAGAGTAAGCAAGTAAAAGTTAGTAAATAAGTAAAAGTAACTAAGTTAGCAACTTAAGGAAGTTTATTCAGGTACAATTTTACAATTTTAAATGATTACAATTGTCTTACATAGTAACATAATATGTAAATTACCTTTAATACTCCCCCCCCCCCGTAAAAAAAATCCAGGCGACTTATTTCCGCTGGATTAATCTCCACTGCTGCCTTGTAAGTCTATTTAGGTACAGGTACACATAAGTACAATTATCATACATAGTGTAAATTGCCCAAGTAAGAGAAAGTAACCTGTTTTCATTGGGGCCCTTCATTTCCACTGGGGTCCTTGATTTCCATTGTGGTCCTTGATTTCCTTTGTGGTCCTTGATTTCCATTGGGGTCCTTGATTTCCTCACTAACAGAACACAGAGAGTAGTCGTCAACAAAGTAAAGTCCGAGGCAGCTACGGTGAAAAGCTCTGTTCCACAATCGCATCTGCTAGAAAAATGACAGGATGGATAATGAGAACCTTCAAAACTAGGGAGGCCAAGCCCATGATGACACTCTTCAGGTCACTTGTTCTATCTAGGCTGGAATATTGCTGCACTCTAACAGCACCTTTCAAGGCAGGTGAAATTGCCGACCTAGAAAATGTACAGAGAACTTTCACGGCGCGCATAACGGAGATAAAACACCTCAATTACTGGGAGCGCTTGAGGTTTCTAAACCTGTATTCCCTGGAACGCAGGAGGGAGAGATACATGATTATATACACCTGGAAAATCCTAGAGGGACTAGTACCGAACTTGCACACGAAAATCACTCACTACGAAAGCAAAAGACTTGGCAGACGATGCACCATCCCCCCAATGAAAAGCAGGGTGTCACTAGCACGTTAAGAGACCAAATACAATAAGTGTCAGGGGCCCGAGACTGTTCAACTGCCTCCCAGGACACATAAGGGGGATTACCAACAGACCCCTGGCAGTCTTCAAGCTGGCACTGGACAAGCACCTAAAGTCAGTTCCTGATCAGCCGGGCTGTGGCTCGTACGTTGGTTTGCGTGCAGCCAGCAGCAACAGCCTGGTTGATCAGGCGCTGATCCACCAGGAGGCCTGGTCACAGACCGGGCCGCGGGGGCGTTGATCCCCGAAACTCTCTCCAGGTAAACTCCAGATAAACTCCAGGCTAATTAACAAACACGTGTGGCCTCAAAACGTGGTTTTGAGGCCACACGTGTGTTACTGGTGCATATAAACCATACAATGTAGCTTTCCCCTAGGAAACCCCAATATAGTTAATGGGAAATGAAATAACTCAGATTGATTTCTTGGGTATGCTCAGGTGAAATCTATATAGTGTATGTGCATTTTATGTGCCTGTTATATGTGTGATGGGGGTTCCATCACACAGTGTAGCATTACACATGAAAATTAACCACTTTAAACTTGCTCAGCTATCAAAACTTTGGAGTCCAGTCCCTGGACCAATTATGTACCTCTGTAATCTTTTGACTACCGCCCACAGGATGGGTATGGGGTGCATAATAAACATATTAAACTAAACTAAAAACTCAGTCAGCATAGCGGAGGATGGGGGCTAGGAGATGCCAGCACTGGAACCTAAATCTTCTTATGTACAGGTTGTTCACAGGGCTAGGACATCAGGCTTGTCTGCACATCCAGGGACACTGTACCATCCTCACATCTGTAAACAATGACTGACAGTAGCATTTCCTATGGTGTGACATGTAGCATAAAAGGGCAGCAGTGCCCTGGCATCAACATTTGCACCAATAACTCATTACAGTTGTGACCGGGTGTGGAAGTGTGAATTGCTCATTACTCTATAATATGTTCATGATTGTAGCCATGTATAAACGTAAGTAACCATTCTTACAGAATTCATTACCTTTGTAACTTGTGAGCTCATTACCTTTGTACCTAGTTCAGCTATCAAAACTTTGGGGGCCCAGTCCCTGGACCCATTACGTACCTCTGTAATCTGTAAATACCTTTGTAACTTGTCATGATTGTGACCAGACCTACCTGGAGTTCATTACCTTTGTAAATTGTGAGTTCATTAACTTTGTAAATTGTGAGTTCATTACCTCTGTAACTTGCTCAGCTATCAAAACTTTGGAGTCCAGTCCCTGGACCCATTATGTACCTCTGTAATCTTTTGACTACCGCCCACAGGATGGGTATGGGGTGCATAATAAACATATTAAACTAACTTTAACCTTTTTGGGGGTTATTCTAGGTAACTTACACATGTTAATATGTATGATAATTTGTGTAACTGTATTTATGTGTACCTGTACCTAAATAAACTTAATGGAACCCAAGTTGGCTATGCCACACCCTTACTTGATCAAGTTCCTGACAGGTTGTTCATACAGAAATTCAATTATAATACCTTCTTCAAGGGTGACATGAAATCTGAAATATTACTCATGAAATTGTAATGTCACGATTGCAAATAAACCATACCACGGTTGGGGTTTGAACCCGCGGTCAGTCTCAAAACTCCAGACGCTACGGTCTGGAGTTTTGAGACTGACCGCGGGTTCAAACCCCATCTGTGGATGGTCTGAAATGTTATTTAGTTTTAACAACATTCTATTGCTTGCTTCTGCCCTACCTGGAGTATATCTGGAGGGTGTTTTGGTGGTCAATGCCCCCACGGTCCTGTCCATGACCAGGCCTCGCAGTGAATCAGGGTCTGATCAATTAGATTGTTACTGCTGGCCGCACACAAACTAACATACGAACCACAGCCGGCTGGTCAGGTACTGACTTTAGGTCCCTGTCCAGCTTTCTCTTGAAGACAGCCATAGTCATAAATCTGTCTTTGGAAAGTGGTGGGCAGCAAATTATATAGAATTAAACAGGAGTAGGTGCTTGGCCCAATTCTTTCAACAATAGCCAATGAGATATGGCTCTGTAGGCTGAGGATAAGGTGCACACACAAGCACCTACTTGTAGGTGCTCCTGTTCCTGTGACTTGCATGCCACAAATCAGAATACAAGCAGAGACTTACGTGAAGATTTGTGAAGGCTCATTTATCACTGATATCTTTTAAACTGGTGAAATATATTTTAACTTCTGTGAATGTCTCTCGGAACTCTCTCCAGGTAAACTCCAGGTAATGTATTTTTTATGACATTCTTTTACTTGAAATTTTTTGATAATTTGCACTGAAAAGGTGGGACTGGTAGAGCAGTTCAGAGTAAATATGTTAAGGTATTGAAGGAGAGTTAAGAAATTACCTGGAGTTTACCTGGAGAGAGTTCCGGGGGTCAACGCCCCCGTGGCCCGGTCTGTGACCAGGCCTCCTAGTGGATCAGAGCCTGGTCAACCAGGCTGTTGCTGCTGGCTGCATGCAAACCAACGTACAAGCCACAGCCCGGCTGGTCAGGAACCGACTTTAGGTGCTTGTCCAGTGCCAGCTTGAAGACTGCCAGGGGTCTGTTGGTAATCCCCCTTATGTATGCTGGGAGGCAGTTGAACAGTCTCGGGCCCCTGACACTTATTGTATGGTCTCTTAACGTGCTAGTGACACCCCTGCTTTTCATTGGTGGGATGTTGCATTGTCTGCCAAGTCTTTTGCTTTTGTAGTGAGCAATTTTCATGTGCAAGTTCGGTACTAGTCCCTCTAGGATTTTCCAGGTGTATATAATCATGTATCTCTCCTGCCTGCGTTCCAGGGAATACAGTTTTAGGAACCTCAAGCGCTCCCAGTAATTGAGGTGTTTTATCTCCGTTATGCGCGCCGTGAAGGTTCTCTGTACATTTTCTAGGTCAGCAATTTCACCTGCCTTGAAAGGTGCTGTTAGTGTGCAGCAATATTCCAGCCTAGATAGAACAAGTGACCTGAAGAGTGTCATCATGGGCTTGGTCTCCCTAGTTTTGAAGGTTCTCATTATCCATCCTGTCATTTTTCTAGCAGATGCGATTGATACAATGTTATGGTCCTTGAAGGTGAGATCCTCCGACATGATCACTCCCAGGTCTTTGACGTTGGTGTTTCGCTCTATTTTGTGGCCAGAATTTGTTTTGTACTCTGATGAAGATTTAATTTCCTCGTGTTTACCATATCTGAGTAATTTAAATTTCTCATCGTTGAACTTCATATTGTTTTCTGCAGCCCACTGAAATGAAGTCAGTGTGCTCTTTTGAGTGAATCATTCAAAGGATGTTGGGCATTTCTGGTCTCCCCTTCATGAGATCACCATGTGTGAGCGTAACAAGTGTACCTGAATGAGATTACCGTTTCCTATAACTGATAACAGTGAAGGACAGTCAAAAACTAGATTTTGGCTGTATTAAAAACTGCTGCCAGCCAGCACGTTTGAAAACATTGTTAACACTGGAAGCTAACCAGAAATTAACAAGAAATTATTACAGTTTTTCCTGAACTTGGAATTCTATAATTATCATTACTATATTCATGGGGAAGCACTAGATCCATAGGAGTCATATGGTGCCTGTGATTATGGGAGGCATTCAGGTTCAATCCAAGGAAAGGGAGGGCAGGTCCAATTCCTAAGATTAAAGCCTCTTACTGGCAACCTGGCATTCACTTACTGTATTATGGTTTTAGTGCTTGTTCAAGAATCAAGGTTATAATACTACTAATAATAATAATAATTAGTAATAATGTACTGGTATATAATCATTACAATAAATTTTAGCACTAAACCCAAAAGGGTAATTTTCTATATACTTGTATAAGGTTATAATTTAAACAACTAGTGAATATACAATATATATACATTTATTTTCCTGTATTTATTTTCCAGATAAAATCCATTATTGTATTTACAACATTGTGCAGTTTTGCATGCTTTGTACAATGGCCCTTCAGTTATGTATTGCATTAAATAATTTATATGAGCCTCATATATGATTGTAAACTTAATGTTATTACACATTTTTTAATCTTTAACCATCTACTCCTTTAAAATAACATGTTAAATTTTAACACAATAGTATTTTAGTCGCACATTAACCTTGTGTTTATGTGTACATATATTTTTTCCTGTACATCATAATTGCTTTACTTACTAAACCGGTTAAATTATTATACAGTGCCCTTTTAAAATATTTTTTTTACATTGATATGTTGATTTTTTTACACTCTTGAATAAGTTGTAACAAATTCTAACTTTCCTATAGAGATGTTATTTGGAATAGTGATACTTTTATTAAGAAAAATATGAAGTCATTTTTAACTTGCAAGCACTGGTCTAAACAAGATAAAAGCATATTAAGCATTTTATGAGCAATTAATGTGGTAAAATAGGCAGATATATCTGGAAATCCTCCAGCCATATGTGTGCATGCAAATAAATTCCCTATCTTACACTTTTAGGAATATACCTGGAGGGTGTTCCAGGGGTCAGTGCTTCCACAGTGCAGTCCTTGACCAGGCCTTGCAGTGGATCAGGGCCTGATCAGCCATGCTGTTACTGCTGGCCACACACAAACCGACTTACGAACCATAGCCCAGCTGGTCAGGTACTGACTTTAGGTGCCTGTCCAGCTCCCTCTTGAAGACAGCCAGGGGTTATTGGTAATCCCTTTATGTATGTTGGAAAGGAAGGATTCATTTTTCACAATCTTATAGCGTTATTTCGGCCACTGAGCATCTGAGTATAATTTACAATAAAAAAACTGCTTATAATTATAAAAATGAATTCCCTTTCTATAAACAAAGTATACATATTAAGGAAACACAACAGACAAAAATTTCCTTGGCAAGTTTGGTGTATAAAGATACTTTGTACAATATAGTACATACTGTACTGTATTTTATATTACTGAGGTTAGCTGTACCATTTATACGGGAAAAGTGATTCATGGGTGACTTTGAGGTTCTGCATAAAAAGTCAGAACTTTTATTGCTTAACTATAAAATATAACAAAAAAAATACTTCAGCAATAATTACAGGGTTTATTTTAACTAGGTATATTTTGTATTTGATCAGTAATAATACTGCACTGCACACTATGCATATGTTATAATACAGAGTAAGTGGACAAAGTACTGTACTACAGTATAACAAATTCAATCAATACACTATACAGGACAATAAAGTTTAATACTTTTACCCCATTTCTTAAATAATTTTAAACATGCAGTCAAGGCATGTTTGTACACAGTAAAAATAAACTCCTGTATACTGTATCTATGTTTTTAGATGCCAAAATAATGAGAATATCAAATAGAGGATAGAAAAAGGCTGCAGGAAGACCTGGATAGGCTTCAGGGATGGTTTAATAAATAGATAAAGGCATTCATCCCAGCAAAAGCAAAGATATGAAGCTGGGAGATGGGAAAAGGAGACCAAACATGGAGAACCACCAAGTGAGACAGAAAATAAGTTCTCAGAAACTGTTCAAAGAAAAGCACATTACCCCTAACCTTTTTCCCTGATGGGTACATGAACAGAATGTCACCACAGGTTAAACTAGTAGATGTGAGAATCACAATCAGAAACCTAGACAGTCAAAATGCTCATTGCTTTTTATGTGCGAACCATTCTTTTGTATGGAACACCTGCATGAAACCCTTTATTAAAAAAATTATACTTGAGAAGGTAAAAGGGAGTGCATCAAGACTGATGCTCATTTGGTATCTTTATTTCCAAAAAGTAATGCCTGTGCAGCAGGCACAGTACACTGGTGACCATTATACTGGAGACAGTTCAAGTAGTTTCAGGTGTTGAATCCCTCATCCTTGATAGAAGTGGAGAAGCAGTTTTGAAGTATTCAGTCACAAAACCTTGATAGAAGTTGCTCAGTTCCATAGCAATTACTATGAAGTAGAGGCACACAGATGGGACAATATATACTGGACAAGAAGTGAGGTGTGGAGGTTTGCATCTTAGGAGGCAGGGCCCACTTGTAAGTCATTGGGCAAATATTACTAAGTAGGTCCTTCTCATATTTGACTCTTTTGACACACAAGAGCAAAAAAGTTGTAGATGTCCTCTGTACCAAGATACCATGATGCTGCTGTGTCAGACAAGTATCAGTACCTCAAGGGTATGCAATACTGACAATTAGATGAATAAGACAATACACAAATAACATGCACATAGAAGAGAGGAGCTTACAACGACATTTCAGTCTGACTTGGATCATTTACAAAGTCACAAGTTGGACCTAAACTACGTTTCGGTCCAACTTGTGACGTGTTTCCAACTAGTATTCGTGTGTTGTTCCAGTCATAGTATTGTGCCTTTTTGTTCTTTATGAATAAGGCAGATGTGCAACATTTTGGTATCTTTATTTCCAAAAAGTTTTGCATGCAGAGCAGGCTTTTTAGTTGAAATTGGATGACCAATGCACTGGAAACAGTTGAGAGCTTGAGATGTTCAGTCCTTCAGCCTTAATAGAAGTGGAGAGGTAGTTTTGAGATACATATTCACTCCCTTGGCCTTGATACTTCAGTGCCAGAGCACTGATCACTCTGACACATGACTTATTCATCTGTTTGTCAGTATTATATACAGTTAATATAATGGTGCAGTGTTGATGTCCAAGTTGAGGAATATAACCTGTGTAGAAAGAGTGCAAAAGCTAGATACTGTGTTTAAGAAAGGTGACAAGAAGGCCCTTTGAACTACCTTTAGACCTGTATACTAGTTGAGAAGTATTTTTGATGAATAAGATACATGTAACACCTAGTTATGTTCATTGATGGAGACACTTCACCAACTAGTGACTTTTTCAGTCGAATATGGATTGAAGAAGACACTGGTTAGCGAAACAACTTTATCAGTAGAGATACCCTAGTGTTACATGTGCTTTATTTATTTATTTTTTTTTTATTATCACACTGGCCGATTCCCACCAAGGCAGGGTGGCCCAAAAAAGAAAAACTTTCACCATCATTCACTCCATCACTGTCTTGCCAGAAGGGTGCTTTACACTACAGTTTTTAAACTGCAACATTAACACCCCTCCTTCAGAGTGCAGGCACTGTACTTCCCATCTCCAGGACTCAAGTCCGGCCTGCCGGACATTATTATACACATTATTATACACCATTAATACAATGATAACTTTCTGACACAGCAATTCCATGGAATTTTGGTACAGAGGATATAATATCTTCAACCCTATTGCCTTTCTCTGGCCCAACTCTTTGACATGACTTTTTTTCACTATTGGGTCCTACATGCTTGTGATATCAATTGCTGCACCTCTCCTCTGGCACACTTGTATAAGTCTTCATCTTCATGCTTCTACTTCAGATTTCCCAAAGCTGAGGGAGTTGATGCCTCATTACCCATCCACCCCTTTCCACCATCTCATATTTATTCTCTACATTGAATTGAATGAGCCACTGGGTGGCGAAATATCAACTTTTCTGTATTGTATACCATTTACATGATGAAGCATTTTTGTATTAATACTGGAAAAAGATAGAAAAGTGGATAAAATACTTGGAAAGCTAAAAGCTGCTATGGTAACTAATTGCTGTTTTTGACTGGCAAATTCCTATATCAAATTTATTCAGCTATAACTTTGATACATCTCTGAAGGAATTCAAGTTTACCTACTCCCATAGCCTGTCCCAGGGCTACTATGAAGGAATCTCAGAAATTATTCAAGAAATGACTAAGCAGATTGCATGTATTATTTATTATTAAAGTCATGAATTTAATGTTGATTACAAAATGTAATGTAAATGGGTGAAAGTATGTAAAACTATAATAAACATCTGATAAAGATCTTGGGGGTAAATATAATACAATAAATTGCCACTGTATAATGTTAGTCCAGAATTGAAATATAAAACTGTGTATGGTGTCCACAACTCAGAAAAAATTAGATGTAGCAATATGGATTTCAGAGTCGAGACATGAGTCACAGTAAAAGAATAATGATGAAGGTACTACATTTAAGATCATAAAATTTTTGTGAGATAATAGAGAACTCAAGGTCATATTTTCAAACTGCTATGTATTTAGGAAGCAGTACAGTAGGGTCATTAGAAAATACTACTTCAGAAAAAGTAGAGCTGACATTTGGAAAGAGTTCATTGAGGAAGTAGTGTGTGCTTCAGCTATCTGAAAATGTTAAAACTTATAAAAGATTTATTATAAATGATGGGAAACTAAGCATAAGCTACATTTCTTTAACTACAAACTATAAATAGGTACATTAATAACACACACATGTGAAGTGTCTTAAGAGGTTTTTTTTTTTTTTTATGCTGACTTATCTGTATTAAACTTGTCTTTAGAAAAACTGGTTGTAGCCAGCACACAGATCCTGCCTGAATTTCTTTTGCTATATCAAATCGAACTACATATGTCACTGACTAATGGACGGATAGACTATAAACAGCATTTATGGATGGAGACCGGTTGATAAATGTAAAACTCATTCAGATTTGTCAATATATCTGTATGACTGAAACTGGCTTCCTCAGCAAACTCCTTTCTTAAGAGACAGGACACAAGCATCCTCTCCAAATATTTCAGATGATCACAAATGATGAAAACATAAAAGGATGCTTGCAATGTTTTCCATGTTATTCTCACATGCTTGTCATGTAAGAGATGCAATTACAGTATCACTTGCTCGTGCTGAGAAACAATAATGTGTGGAAACAATGAAGGTTACCTTAGTAAATGTATAGCAACAGTTTAAAGGAAAAAATAAAAATATCAGTTGGGAGAATACTGTAGTCAAGAATATTCCCTACAGGGCAGTGTGTAGGTGGAGAACATGGAAGAGGCCACAAAGTAAAGTGTATAGCCATTCCCTAAATATTATAACTTTTGTAATTTTAGGAAGTCTAACAAATTTGTTTTTAGCACTGCTGGAAACAATTTATTACCTACCCCTTAACTTCCTAAATCTGAGGCCTTACCAAATACTGTATTAAGTACTGCATCATCCAGTCATTTTCTCTTGAAACTTTCATATTTTTGCATTATGCTGAAAACATTAATAGTACAGTAATACACCATGTAATTATACTGCACTTATTTGAGACAAGATCAATGGTCTTTTCTTTTAAATAAGTTGTGCTGGAAATAAGGGTTTTCTTTAATGAATCAGTTAATTTGGGGGAAAATGAGTATGGAGTGTGTGTAGCCAAAGGGTAGAACTATCAGTGATTAGAGGGGTATACAGCCTGCAAACCAGTGATCAAAGTCAACTGGTTTGTTATCTTTTCCAGAATTTTCTATATTTTCTGTGAGGCTTTTGCTTTTTAGCATATTACATATTATTATTATTATTATTATTATAATCAAAAAGAAGTGCTAAGCCACAAGGGCTATACAGCAGCATATTACATAACATTTCTGCCATTTTGAACCTGATTTAAAACTACTTCCATTTTTTAAACCAACCAAAATCATCTCTATCAAATGATACCAAGAAACAGCCAGTAAAAACTCAAAAAAAAAAAAAATCCCAGAAAACACCTCATAGTCACTATATTAAACCCAACAAGGTCCGAGTTTTGGTATTCCCACTATGCACCTCATGAGGCAGGATTTTTTAATACGGTGCATACTCACTGCACAGACCCAGTGTCTCATGTCTAGGCCAAAATTTACCACTCACAGCTTATCTGAGGGAGCTAAGCTTAGAAGATAAATCTTATTAAACAACCCTGACATTAGTAGGGACAAGACAGTCAAAAGGGTTAAAAAGCCATAATGCGAGTCCTCAATATTTTTGGTTTTCTTTTCAACTATTTCCAACTACTGTATATATAGAATTCTGTAAGAAAATGTTTCAATGTTGTTGAAGAAACTGGAATTAACATGCCTCTTGAGTGCTACTAGACAAAGAAAATGGAGGAATTATAGCAAAATTTTGTAAATTGGCACCTACATGTTCAATAACAATTCAAAGCTTGCTTCAAATATCAGCATTTAAAATCTGACATAAAAGCCATTATTTAAAATTTCCAAGTTCTTAAAAAATAGCAAACTGGCACCTACTCAACCAAATATCAACCCCAAAATTTAGATAATTAGGATACACCAATATTTAGGGTTTGAAATCAATCAGAAGAGAGCATTCTCCATCTATAGTAGAAACTAATTTAATAAAATTGGCACCATTACAATGTGAACATTCTTCTCAGCAAAACTTATGAATCACTGATGTTAAAACGGGTCTTTTTATACATGAACTTTTGTGAATAAAGCCGCCTTCCACCTGATCTTGTTTTAAAACTTAGGCCTAATATTTTTCCTGCAGAATATGATCTGCCACTCTGTGTATATGTAGCTACATATATACTTAGGTACCCATTTACTATGTGCCAAACACGTGCAAATGGAGTAAGGAACTTTATCCAAAGTGTTCTTTTCATTCTGCCCAGAATCTCTCACCATGAGACAAGTCTTGTAGTATCTACCCCACAGAAACTTCTAAATTTGTAGTCATTCATCCTTCTGCCATTTACTATCTACATTATGAATCCACTCTTAATACAAATCACACAGCCCCCAAATTTCATCAAAAGAGTTCTTGTTACTACAGATATATTTTCAGATCCATGAATTTAAAATACACACTTTGTTTTTTTGGTGGAAAATGACTTTTTAGAGTCATGCACATGCTGTCAATTATTGCTGTATTATATTCATTAGGGTAGCAGTAAATCTGTCAGTCATACAGTGCCTGGGGAATGGCTTGATTTAAAGAAAGGGAGGGTAGCAAGAAGTCTTCAGATCAAGAGCCCTTCAACATCAAGGTACCCCCCCCCCCACTTGAAGAAAACATGCCATAGAATATATGCAGTAAACAAAATCCCTTCAAAGGAAGTGCCTGGTTACCAGTGACAGGCTCTTGATCGAAGGAATTTGAGCTACCCTCTCTTCCAGATCAAGCCTTATTACATACATTGAGATGCATCCCCATGAGTATAATAAACTAATATACAAGTTACTGATATATTTCAGTTATACTCCACACTTATTCCTGAGTTCATGATCTTATTGTGTCCACAAAGACACTGCACGAGGCTGAAGTCAGCCAAGGAAATAAATCTCTGGAAACTGTTTATATGTTGTACTCTGCTTATAGTATTTGAAAAAGCAAATACATACATACAGCCTCTTTTCAAAAGAAAATGGGAATAAAATTAACAAAAATGTAAAAGAGGATACAAGCATGTGATTGCAGTATGTATAAAAGGAATATCTGCAGGTTAAACCTACCTTAAAAAAGAATTACTCCAGCATCCACACAAAACATTTGGGGTGACCAAATCAGCTTGAACTATATTTGCAAATCTAGGGAATAATTAAATTCCTGACTATTAAAATAATGTCCTACAATCAGAATTCACTCTTTTAGAGTTAAAAATCCTGTATTTGTATATAATTTTTTTGCTGTTTGGGGTGACATTTTTCATAACAATGAGAACCAAATTGGGAATACAGTTTTTTACATGACAATAAACAACACTTTTATTTATATAATATGAAATACTGTAATGTAATGTACTTTGCTATCTCTGCCAAGTCCTGATAACAAAGTTTTAATTGTTTTATCATTTTTACACTATTTTGTTAAATACTGTACTTCAACATCATAGTTTAAGCTCATACAGAATATTTAGTGTTATCAAATTGGACAGTTCTTAATGTTGTCAAGCATTATTAATTATAAGGTTTCTTCTTTCTCTTTCTTTCAACACACCGGCCGTATCCCACCAAGGCAGGGTGGCCCAAAAAGAAAAACGAAAGTTTCTCTTTTAAATTTAGTAATTTATATGGGAGAAGGGGTTAATTATAAGGTTAAAAATATAATAAATTAAAATATTAATGCATTTAATTAAAAATATAACTATTAAAAATTTCTAACAATTCAATAAAATTAATAATAATAATAATAATAACAAAATATTTACACCTTACAGTACTTAAATTAATGACTAGAATGAATGTGAATTTTCTTCTATTTAAGTCAATTGATTGACCATATATGCCATCTATGACAGCACTATCCAAACTGATAATCATATAAAAATAACCGAACCCACAGTTCAATAGTCAACAGTACTTGGTTTAATTTTGGCAGCTACTGCAGCATAACTACAACCAGCATTATTGTTCAGTTCTACTAAACTACTTGGGTATGATACAGGCTTAGAAAAGAAAGATTCATTACTTCCTTGAGATAAAATATCATTGCATAAATTGATTTCCGATGAATTATCTGGTATACCATTACTTTCAAATTGTGCTAAGTTATTTTTCCCCATTATCTGGTTTATTGAAGACTGTATACAATTATACAAAGGTTGGTTCTGCTGGATATTATCTATGGCTTGGTTTACATTACTGGAGACAGTGTTGCCAGAATACTGTTCCACAGGCCCAACTGCTGACCAAGGTAAGTTTGGCGAGGTGACATTAATACTTGGTGCCACACTGCAATTAGCAAGCTGTTGTGGATTTGAGGAGGTACCTGGGAAAATATTTTCCAAGTCTGCTGTACTGGACGAGGCCACTGGACTCAAGACAGTATTGTCCTTTGTTGATTCAAGAGGAGTTATATTGCTTTTCACACACAAACTGGTGGGCCTTGAACAAGCCTTTACTTCATTAACTTTTCTTGCATCTAAAAATTTCTCTTCAGTTTCACTCTGGTTATTTTTGGCTAAAGATAATGTATGAAAATGTTGCAAACAGTCTTGTAAAGAAACGATTGCTAAAGATACTTCATCAGTATTTTTTGGAGGGGTTATGGACAGTTTACTAAATTTTATTAAGACATCAGGAGTGTGAGGCAATTCCTTGACACGGGTTGCTAACCTATGCTCTCGCTTCACCTTTGCCTTATGCCTTTTACTAACCCTGATGAAGCATTCCTCTTCATCTTTAGGTTTTGAATAAAATGAGCCAGATGTATTTGGTGGAAGCATTGAGGAACAAGTATTTTTAGTCTCTGAAGAGGTTGTGGGTTCATTTAAAGAACTTGTATCATTTAATAACTGGTTGCTAGATGGCTCTTTTGAACATGAAGTGATAGCTGGTACTTTGGTTGGCGTATCAGGAGATAACAAAGTTTTTGTCAAAGACCTTGGTGTAGATGGTGTGGTGACAGGTGTTTGACCTGGGTATAGGAACTGGGTAGATGAAGTTGGTGTAGGAGTGATGCCTCCCACTGAAGACTGTAGATATGATATCAACACTCGGCACAAATTTTTTTCCTCCTCATATGGTTCTTTACTTGCCTCGTATTCTTCCCTGGAAATAAAAATTATTATTGTGCAAATAATACAAGAATATGTACATGTGCTAATTTCATTAATTACCTTTTATTCTAGACATTAAAAAACATTGTACCTAGTTAATTTTTAAATCAATGCCATTTAATGCTTTTACTTTATGCAATATGTTCAAAAAGAATGTTTTGAGTGTGAACTTTTTTCATTTAGTTCTGTGTACAGTTTATTTCATCCTTTGACATTAATACTTGAGCGTAGGTAGTTAATTTTTTTTTCTGGGTCTCCTGTAGTTTAAGGTTAAAATGTACAAGAGGCTTCATCACACAGAGTAGGCCTTATTTTTTATATTTATGTCTACTAGACTTTCCCCAGTATGTACAGAGAACAGGAACTGAAACAGTATTTACAAGTTAACCCATCTTTGAATTGAATTCACTAATGCTGTCCTTGTGAAATTTGAAGGCAACTTATGCATCCCTTATATGATAAGAGATTTCTAAACCAGGTAGATCAAGATTTGGTTATTCCAATTAAATCAGCCAAAAGTAAATTCGAAACTAGCAGTGCTTATTCAGCAGGAATTAACTTTGAAGACCATTGTAATGCTAGACCAGTACAGCCTCTCCTCACTTAACGATGGAGTTCCATTCCTAAGACCACGTCGGTAAACGAATTTGTTGCTAAGCGAGGAGCATACTATAATAGTAGTGGGTTTGTGTCAGCCATCTCTGATATTGTTTTAATGTCACCTTTGCACCTTTTATAACATTTCTGGTATATTTTTAAATTTTTATACAGTAGTGTACTGTATATTGTAATAAAGAGGATAGAGGAAATCAGCTCCAATATACATTATTTAGGAATGCAAACAGGTCAGTGAGCCCGTCATAAGTCGGAGTCGTCGGTAAACGAGTACATCGCTTAGTGAGGAGAGGCTGTACAATAATTACCATCAACACCTACTGGGTGAGGGTACAAACGTAAACAACTAGGCATGTACAACTAGATAGTGTTGTCTTCTACTTTAGTAACTGTGACTAGCCATCATCACTCTTAATGCTGAAAGATTCATAATGATTTAGTTTTGCATGAACATTGTATTGTGGAAAAACAATTCCTGTTTTTTTTTTTGTTTTAGCAAAGTTTTTCTTTTGATTGTCAATATAAATCAGTTGAAAAAGATATTAGAGTTATTGTTAAGCTTTCTTTTTAGGGAGGTCAACTGAAGAAAGTTTTGAGCGATAAAAAAAAAAAAATTGAGTCTGTGTAACATCTCATTGCTACATTCCAGATTCTGCATCTCTTAACAAATGTCTTAAAAAAAAGGTAACCCCACACATGCTATATGATCATACAAAAAAAATTCAAGAATTTGTTCCAGAAAACCACTATACTGTACTGTATTATAGTTTAATCTTATTATTTCTTGCACTATTATCAATGCAGTGGAGTTAGTCCACTACACCAGACATTTGTCTGTGTCAGACAGGCTCCCAGTGCAGTAGACCTAGCCCTCTGCAACAGGTACTTCAATGCAAAGGCTTTTCATTACAGTAAATATCACTTAACCCTCCATTAGTCCGTTAAACTGGTTTCGCTGTATATAATAGTGAAAGTTTACTTTAATCCCTACTTTAGGTTTGACAGTATTCTTGACCAAGAGTGAACAGGTAATATGAATAATACACAGCATAAATTATCCTAGTATAGTTTATAAGCTTTAACCCTTTCAGTGTTGGTCCAAAATACGGCATGAGAGCCAGTCGGTCCTGTAATACTACGCCAAAATTCTAGCTCCTTCAAATCTGGTGGAAGAAAGCTGGTAGGCCTACATATGAAAGAATGGGTCTGAGTGGTCAGTGTGTGCAGTATAAAAAAAATTCCGCAGCACACAATGCACGAGAAAAAAAAAACTCCGACCATGTTTTTGCTTTAAAACAGCGACTTTGCAGTGTATTTTCATATGGTATTTATGGCTGTATTCTTGTTTTCTTGGTCTCATTTGATGAATGGAAGATATATTACAGAAATGGAGATGATTTTGATTGGTTTTGCGATGAAAAGTACCTTGAAGTAGCTCAAAGTAGCAGAAATGTTTGACTTTTTCTGATGTTCAAGAGTAAACAAATGAAATCACTGTCCAATATGTGTCCAACTGACCAGTCTAATTTAGCAATCACAAATGGGTTAACATTATTTATACAATTATTATAATAATGCAGTAGTCTGCATAACAGCAAATCTTCTATTTTTGCAAGAATAAAAATTCAAAATGGAAAGTGAGAGTTATGTAGAGGGGACTAATGAAAAGAGAAAATAATTTTAGTGCCAGGAATATCTGTCTTGTTTATTCTTGACCCTATTTTGAAACTGGCATCTTTTGAAATTTGTGAAATTGGCTAAATTGTCAATTTCTGACCACTTTATTAGGTAGCTGAAATCGGTAAATGGGCGGTTTCTTGTATTCAATCAATAGAACAAATGGAGTTCTAGCAAAATAGCTATGATTTTAGTCGACTGGAACAATGGAATTGGCCAAAAATAGGGCTCAAATTGGGTGAAATTGCTGATGCGTAAATATCACCAAGATTGCTAACTTTGCAAGAGAGTAATTTCATGGGTTTTCCATCAAATTTCATACTTTTGGTGTCATTACCATCGGGAAAGGATTCTCTATCATTTCATAAGATTTTTTTTTTTTTCTGAAAATTTTTTGACTGTGTTAAGGATCAGGGGTCTCAACACTGAAAGGGTTAAACACCATCAACCATCCAACCTAGTCAGTAACTGGCTTCCTGCCCAAGGTGAAAGACACACCTGGAGTGGATCTGAAGGTTCATTAGACACCAGTAAGAAGAAAGGTATTGCTCAGGACTCCAGAGAAATGCCAAGTTTTCCTTTATTTTGTAACATACAGACAGTTCTCAACAGTTAAGACACATAGGTAAAGAGGGTATTATTAGAACAGTTGACTGTATGTAATGAGCACTACAGCTAGCACTACCCTGTGGGTTATACATAATTTATCACTACATATTCAAATGTAAAGAGAAACTTTCGTTTTTCTTTTTGGGCCACCTTGGTGGGATACAGCCAGTTTGTTGAAAAAAAAAAAAAAATATTCAAATGTATATAGGTGAGGGTCTATAAACAATAATTTTATGTTATGTTCATATCAGTCTGAAGAATTCTAAATGCAGGTTTAATTAGCAAGTCAAGTTTGTATTGAGCAAAATATTGTTCAGCTATACTGTAATATTGGTGCAATAGTTCATTGTTCCTATGTTATACTGTACTGTTCTAAAAGATAATTGTGATTAACCAATCTACTATATTATAGTATAAGAAAGTACTGTATCTAGCATATAAGAAGCCCACGCTAGCCTCCCTATAGTGTATAAATATACCTAGTTGGATGAATTTTACTGTAGCCAGCTAGCCCAGCAACTTACTCACTGGCCTGGAGTTTGAAAACTCACTTGCCATGGGTTCTAACCCCACCCATTCAGTGGTTTGTTTGTAATCATGCTGTTACAGTTTCAAGAGTACATATGAAGATTCAGACACTACTTACCACAATTTTCGTCTTTCTTCTTGGCGCTCTCTTGTCATTTCTTGTCTTAACCGTTTTTTGTCTTCATATCGCTTGTTGCGTGCAGCTTGTAGTTTTTGATGATGTGCTAGCCATCCTTGTTCCAACTTAGGTTTCATTTGCTTTAGTTGTTCCATAGCTGCATGAATGAAATAAAAACCATTCAAGCATTATTATAATTTGTTGGATAAGTTTCCAATTGTTTGTGTATTGATAACTATGTTATTACTGAAATGGTTCAAGATTTTAAAGTCAAGACTGGGCCAGGATGGAGTATTAAGAACAAAGTATAGTATGACATTACCACCTACATACTAATACAAAATGGGCTGGTTTGCCCAAGACAGAAAAACCATACACCACAGTTATAATTATTTTGCCTTTATTTTCAATCAAGAAATTTTTTAAGAACCTCCTAATGAAAAGCAACTTAAAATTTAATAGACATTCTACATCATATGATAATGGTACTTACCCTTTTTATTTAATGATATATCTCCTCTGACAGCTGCCATTTCTTTCTTTATTTCATCTTCTTGTGTGTATAGAGCTCGGATCTTTGAGTAATTGCTGTTACGCTCTTCTATTAGTCTTGCTCTCTCCCCACGATATTTTTTGTTCTCTGCCTGAAATTTGCTTCTTTAAGTATGTATTACAGTACAGTACTTCTCTAGTTTCTAAATCAGTATTTTCATACCATTCCAGTTTTTTTTTTATTCACTGGAAATCCCATTCTTAAAAGGAAAAGTCTCAAGAGAAATCATTCCCAAAGTTTTAGTATGCCCACAAGTGTTTTTACAAGTTTTGAAGAAGCATAAATTAAGTTTAAATTACACTAACAAAAGTTATCAAGACTAAGTAAGACAGACACACAGACTGAATTAAAATAACTGCACAAATATTGTCAAAATTAATTCTAGCATCAAAATTATGTCATGTATTGTTAACAGTTTTAAGCTGTAGAAATTTGAAAATAATTTAGAAGGAAGATTAGGGATTATTCAGGTGGTTTGGCCATTTAAAGAGAGTGGAGCAGAATAGGAGGCTGAGCATCCAGCAGGTATGAGAGAATTTTAGACTGGAGTGTGTGGAGATATGTGATTTTTAAGGATTTAGTCCTACTGGGATGTGAGCAAATGTAAAATTTATGAAGGAATTTAGGAAACTGAGTCCTGGAGGTGGGAAGTACAGTGCCTACACTGGAGGAGAGACTGGGATGTTATAGTTCGGAGGGTTTTTTGAAATACAGTGTCTGCACACTTCTTATAAGACAGCTATTGAATTAATGATGATTTTTCTTTTTTGGTCACCCTACCCTAGTGGAAGATGGTCAATGTTTCAGATATACTGTACATATAAGTAAACCCTAGACATAACAGACTTCAGAATTTTTTTTTTTTTTTTTTATTATCACACTGGCCGATTCCCACCAAGGCAGGGTGGCCCGAAAAAGAAAAACTTTCACCATCATTCACTCCATCACTGTCTTGCCAGAAGGGTGCTTTACACTACAGTTTTTAAACTGCAACATTAACACCCCTCCTTCAGAAATATGGGAAAAAAATCTGCTGGGTCAAATGATTTTGGAAACAGCAATGTCATTTGGTTACAGAATTGTGCATTATTCTTACAATCACAGCAGAACAATCTCATATCTATCCACCTCATTCATTATTACTTATCACCCATTTCCCATTACAAGTCTGTTAAATCAAGAATTTACTTATACAATATATATATACTCATGGTAAAATAGTACAGTGGACCCCCGCATAACGATCACCTCCGAATGCGACCAATTATGTAAGTGTATTTATGTAAGTGCGTTTGTACGTGTATGTTTGGGGGTCTGAAATGGACTAATCTACTTCACAATATTCCTTATGGGAACAAATTCGGTCAGTACTGGCAACTGAACATACTTCTGGATCGAAAAAATATCGTTAACTGGGGGTCCACTGTATACTACATTCTCAAGCACAACTCAAAATTACTTCTTTAAAACAAAATGATTAGTATTAAAATTACACAACCGTATATGTATTACTAACTTGCTTAGCTTCATACTCCCGAAGAGTCTTGACTGATCTTTGAAGCATAGATATCTCGTCTAGAATTTTTTGCTCTTCCCTTGGTTTGTAATTGTTGTTTCGTAGCTGGTACTCCAGTCGCTCAATATTACCATGAATCTGCTTCACATTATGATAACGCAGCTATAAAAAAGGCAAATACAAACAAAATCAGCTAAATATGAATACAGTTTAAGTTAGAAGCTGGTCACTAGCATAAATTAGCAGCTGTCACACTGACAGCATAATATGAAAAATATATAATATTAATGTTTTAGGAATATGACGATACAAATCTGTCGACCCTTTGGTATATGATGGCCCCATACAGTACTCAAATCTTGGGTGACCTTGAAAGGTCAATCAGGCCACATGAAATTGTTTACATTGCCTCTAGCTAATATTGGAATTATTTGTCATCCTCAAGTAACCAGAGAGCCCTAGCTCCTTCCTATGGAAAATGAGGAGTCGAGATCTGAAGCAATTTAGTTCTAGATATGGGAGAGGGTGTTTCACTGTCATTTGCAAGTAGGAAAACTAATTGTTTGAAATGACTTTCAAAAATTCATAAGAACTATGAAAATTACAGCAAAAGTCATAGGAGCACAACAGTCTTAGAATGAAACGATTTATAACATTTTGATGATCAAATGCTATAGGGTTAATATCAATTCTTAATATGTATGTATGTATAGTGTTACAAAATACAGTATGTATTCTTTAAAAATGTATGTATGGTACATACCTTTTGCTTCAGGTGGGTAACTTCTTCAGAAATTATATTTATGGCACTATTAGCAGCATTGATCTCTTGCTGCAATGAATCCTTGACCTGTGCAAGTGGCTGCTTACCCTCACGCACATTTTTCAGCAACTCACTCAGCTGTGTCTGAGGGTGATATAACATGCTGTACAAAATAAGATAAATAAATCACTATTTTCAACATTTAATATTTGCTAGCCTCATACTTTCTGGATATGACAAAATTTGGCTAATCAAGACATTTAAAAGGTATTGTGATAAAATAAGAATCTTACATTTTCCATTAAAAGAACTCACCATCTGAGTTGATTTGACTTGTATAAAAGCCTGGTAAGTTTCCAGCTTGTCATTATAGTCTGCCTGGCTCATCACTGTCACAGCTGCATCTGAGATGAAATACAAACAAATTTCAGAAAAATTAAGGTTTAAATTTGAAGTTTCTAACTTTCTCATGTCTGGTACTCCATTATTTGACCTAGTACATAATGCTACATGGTGATACACATTTTTTTTAATGCATTGGTAATCTCCCAAGGTAAAATAACCTCTTCCCCCCCAAAAAAAAAAAAAAATTATCATACTTCTCCCACAAGTCAAAAGTTTATATTTCACCTAAATATTTTGTGTCATATTAACTTTGGCCTCAATGCATAGTTAGAGTATATAGCATTGATTAAATTTGGACACCCAAACTAGGCGAGTGTATAAGAAATAATTATAAAGATCTCAGTAGTAGAACATTCAGATCACATCCAGAAGAATCTTGACTCAATTCCTAGAGGTGTGACATATGGCAAGTCTCCATATACTTACTTAACAATGCACAAGTATCTAGGATTTAGTCTGACACCACGAATCACATCCTAGAGGAGATAATCAGAGAGAGTCACATTACCTGATTTTCTGGGTTTATCCTGGGTTAACAATCCTCCAGGTTAAATAATTTTATGAATGACTTAATTGAATCATTAACCCAGAAGGTTAGTAAGCCAGGATAATCCATGGAAGCCATCAGGGTGGCTTATTTCGACCGGGATTCTATGAGCCTCTTTCCCAGGATGCACCCCACAATAGTGGGTACCTACTTACTAAGCAAACAAGGGTAACAGATGTAAGGAAACATGCTCAATATTTCCACTTATTTCAAGTTTCAAGCCAGTTTCTTTGGTTAAAGGCATTTCAACTTGTTTTTTTGTGGATGGTACACTTAAAAAAGAACATTTTGAATTATGTCAGTGAAAATAATGCATAAATCAATTTACAATTCACTACATGAATCAATATAAAAAACTTTCCTACCCATATAAAAGGAAGAAATACAAGCTTTATCAGCAACTCTTAAGGTATTTTTTATTCTCTACTGTTAAAAATAAACTGTTTCCTTTGTGGATTTTTGTGATATACACTAAATATGCTCCTATAACATGTTTCCTCAAGACCATTATAACAAAAACTTGTAGTCATACATGTGGATTTGGTATACCAATAATGACTTAAATCAACATGATACAAATATGAATAAAGATTGCTTAATTGGTATATGCACATTTCTGTATGATGGCTGCCAAAAAATATGGAAATAGCATGGAGGAAAGCTTATAATATGAGCACCAGTGAGCTTCCCAACATTACCAAGATGTCGATTGGTCAGGAGAAGTCCCGGATATTTTTCCTATCCAGAAAAAGGTTCTCCCATATATAAATTTAGTGACCTCAGCAAGCATGTACCTTACATATCCTAATCTAACCTAAACCTAAATTTTTGTTGGATACCTCATGGTTATACTTCAAGAAGTCACCAAACCTGACATCTGAGTAACTCATTCACATCAGTGACTGTATGGCACCAATGATAAATAGGGGGTGCCAAGGTGGAGGCATGGGAGGGGGCTGGAACCCCCCAAAATTTCATCATGGTGTCCCATAGCTCGATTGCTAGCACACTCAGCTCACATATTCAGGTCCATGGTTCAATCCCCAGTACAGGAAGAAACATTAGGAAGTGTTTCCTTAAGACACCTGCTGTCCCTGTTCACCTACCAGTAAAACAGGCACTCGAGTGTTAGTTGACTTGTGTAGGTCGTATCCTGGGAACAAAACTGACCTAATTTGCCTGAAATACTCTGCATAACAAGGGACTTTCTATATATATAATAGTACATGTATGTCACTGATGTCAGCTAGGCCTGTATACCTTATACATGTACTTTTAGAAATAAAGATTATTATTACTGTATTATCAGCTCCACAGAACCCCCAAATAAAAATAATGTTGCTTTAAGATAAGTCCCTCTAGGTGCCTCTTCCAATCCCAATGGAAATGAGTCCCTTTGACCTTTTCTGGGTTATCCTAGTTAAATTACACTATGTATGATAATTGTATTTACATGTATTATTATTATAATCAAGGGGAAGCGCTAAACCCGTAGGATTATACAGCAGCCTGGGGGGATGTGGAAGGCATTCAGGCTTAATTCGGGGAACTGGAGCACAGATCCAATTCCCTAAATCAAGAGCCCCTCACCAACATCAAGGAACCTTCCCTGAGGGGTATTTACATGTAGTTGTGCCTAAATAAACATACTTAAAACTTCTACAGCTGCTGCTGGAAATGCAGTATGTGGTTATCTGGCTCTTTATTTGGAGTTAAGTTGTGTATTAAGATATTAAGTACATAACAGAATTTTTTTTTTAAATTAAAAAAAAAAATCAATATATCAGTTCTCAAAGATAAACAAGAGGTAAATAAGTTTATTTAGGTACAAGTACACATTAGTGCAGTTATTCAAATCTAGGCAATTACAGCAACATGTACAAATTGCTTAAGATAACCCAAAAAAGTCAGTGACTATTTATTTCCATTGGGGTCCCTGTGACATTTTATGACGACTTAACCTAGGATATCCCTACAATACCTCAAAAAGGATTTAAATCCAAAACTGCCCATTAATTCATATGTATTCTGTAACAATATATCCATATTGACAAACTCCATAAATTGGTTTGTACAAAATTTTCCCAATATCGTCACTGAATACCATAATTCTAAAACGTTAATGAAGTATGACATAGTCAAGTAAGATTACCTAGGATATAAAAATAATAAATATAATTATATATATCAGTCATAAATATTTTTGGTTGGGTTAAATCCTTATAATGAAAACAACTGTATACCAATAAAAATCATGTATATAATGAAATCAGTTTAATCATTAAATACAATAATTTAAAACAATATATATATTGAAAATGAAAAACGCTCAGCTTGTTTGATTAGGAATGTGCATTTAAAGTGAAAAACACTTAACAGGTTTCTGACCTTGAAATACGTTCATCTTATGAGTCATAAGAACAATGTTATTTAGTCGCTTCTTGATTCATTAACCTTCTCCATACCTCACAATGGTATATCAGGGGTAAATTATCATACTGACTTACCTGTGGCTACATCTGGGTTTCCTGTAGGGGTCTCCATACTTGTAATAGATGGTATTATGACGTAGGCCCAATATTATGCTATAAAATTATAGCTGTGGCGCACACTCACTTTAGCTGCTATGATTAGCAGTTTCACATTTCTCGAGATTATCTCCCCTGTTTTTAATATTATCTTTGAATTATAGTCACTATATTATTCATCCATTAAAATCACAGAAACAAACCAAAAATGTCATTATAATGAATTAATTCACAGTACACAGACCACTTGCAATGCTGAGATCAATGCACTGGCTGTGATGCCTCTAGTTTATATTCCACAGATCTATCATGTAAATGTTCAGTATCATATGACACTTACATTAATAATGGACAGTTCAAGTGGTACACATTAATATGTGAGAGACAGCAACACACCCACATGGTACAACAGTAATACTGTGTGTGAGACCTGGTAGGACAGACTACCCTGGCTGCTGCTGCTGCTGTACATAACATGGTGAAACACATTGTATCTGCCACGTTTAAAACTTTTGAGGGTATGCCTCTCACACTTCAGTGTAGTTTATACGTTTGGCATGACATCTGTCTTGCCACTCATACGTTTTATTATGTACCAAGGCATGTTTAAAGACTGGGGAGTAGCCTGCAACAATTTGATATGTTGTAATAAGTAGGAAAATATCACATATTTTGCACGCCCTTGGACTGCATACGTGAAAGGAGTTTTAAAACCTGTTTGATAAGCATTTGGGAGCTTTTAGTACAGCTATCTGAAAGCAAACAATATTGCATCTTCACAGTGATCATTGCATCATCCTCTCTCGATCTATTTTTTTTTTTTTGGCACAGGGATTTGCAAGGTTAGGTTCAGGGATCCTAACTGTGTTTACTAGCCAAGAGCTATTATCTACATTAGCTTTCTCATTTAGCTCTTAACTTTTAATGTTAAAATGATTAATTTCTACTGTAACTTACTGCAGGACTTTAAATAATACTACACAAGGACTCCAATAGAAATAAGTCACTTTGTCTAACTTTTTGGGTTATCCTAGATAATATACACATAATGTTACTGTGTATGATAATTGTACTCATCATCATCATCATAATAACAATAATAATCTTTATTTCTTCAAGTACATGTACAGGTATACAGGCCTACCTGACATCAATGACATACTACTATACCTGGAGTTTACCTGGAGAGAGTTCCGGGGGTCAACGCCCCCGCGGCCCGGTCTGAGACCAGGCCTCCTGGTGGATCAGAGCCTGATCAACCAGGCTGTTGCTGCTGGCTGCACGCAAACCAACATACGAGCCACAGCCCGGCTGATCCGGAACTGACTTTAGGTGCTTGTCCAGTGCCAGCTTGAAGACTGCCAGGGGTCTGTTGGTAATCCCCCTTATGTGTGCTGGGAGGCAGTTGAACAGTCTCGGGCCCCTGACACTTATTGTATGGTCTCTTAACGTGCTAGTGACACCCCTGCTTTTCATTGGGGGGATGGTGCATCGTCTGCCTAGTCTTTTGCTTTCGTAATGAGTGATTTTCGTGTGCAAGTTCGGTACTAGTCCCTCTAGGATTTTCCAGGTGTATATAATCATGTATCTCTCCCTCCTGCGTTCCAGGGAATACAGGTTTAGGAACCTCAAGCGCTCCCAATAATTGAGGTGTTTTATCTCCGTTATGCGCGCCGTGAAAGTTCTCTGTACATTTTCTAGGTCGGCAATTTCACCTGCCTTGAAAGGTGCTGTTAGTGTGCAGCAATATTCCAGCCTAGATAGAACAAGTGACCTGAAGAGTGTCATCATGGGCTTGGCCTCCCTAGTTTTGAAGGTTCTCATTATCCATCCTGTCATTTTTCTAGCAGATGCTAGCAGAGCATTTCGGGCAAATTAGGTCCATTTCGTTCCAGGATGCGACCCACACCCAGGTACGTATTTTACTTATAGGTGAACATGGACAGCAGGTGTCTTAATAAGAAAACGTCCTCATGTTTCTACCCGTACCGCTGAGTGTGGTAGCAATGGAGCTACGGGACACCTATCACACACACACATACACACACAGGCGGGGCCAGGAGCTATGAATCGACCCCTGCAACCACAATTAGGTGAGTACACACACACACACACACTGACGGAGTACAGTCTAGAGGGCCACTGGCCAGAGACTACAAACCTCATTCAAGAAAAAGGATCTTGGGGTGAGTATAACACCGAGCACATCTCCTAAGGCGCACATAAACCAAATAACTGCAGCAGCATATGGGCGCTTAGCAAACCTAAGAATAGCATTCCGACATTTCAATAAGGAATCGTTCAGTACCCTATACACCGTGTATGTCAGGCCCATATTGGAATATACAGCACCAGTTTGGAACCCACACCTAGTCAAGCACGTAAGGAAATTAGAGAAATGCAAAGGTTTGCAACGAAACTAGTCCCGGAGCTAAGGAGTATATCCTACGAGGAGAGGTTAAGGGAAATCGACCTGATGACACACGAGGACAGGAGAAATATGGAAGATATGATAACAACATATAAAATACTGAGGGGAATCAACACAGTGGACAGAGACAGGATGTTCCAGAGATGGGACACAACAACAAGGGGTCACAATTGGATGTTGAAGACTCGGGTGTATCACAGGGATGTTAGGAAGTATTTCTTCAGCCACAGAGTGGTCTGGAAAGTGATGTAATGTAGGCAGGATCCATAAATAGCTTTAAGAAGAGGTATGATAAAGCTCATGGAGCAGGGAGAGTTACCCAGTAACCACCAGTGAAGAGGCGGGGCCAGGAGCTGTGAATCGACCCCTGCAACCACAAGAGAGTACACACACACAAGTGCGCACGCACATACGCGCGCGAGCAGATATAAAGCACGAAAAAGAGGGTTAGAAAGAATTAATAATTTTGGACTGTAAGAAACCTTTTGACACTACCGCATAAGAGACAAGGACAAAAGCCAGAGGACCGACGGGAATAACCCGGAAGGCATTACAATGGATCAAGGTATGGAAACAACGAGTGATTGACCGAAATGAGGTGTCAAAATGGGTTCGTGTGACGTGTGGAGTTCCACGAGGATCAGTACTATGACTTTTCAAATTCAAATTCAAAGTTTATTCTCTATAAGGATTACAATGCTGAGTTTACAGAATTTGGTTATTGTGTGGTTTACATGTAGTAAAATAATAATTACAGAGTGTACCACTAGAACACCTAGCATGGCTAGGCATTTCGGGCAGACTTAAATTAAATCTTAAGTTTAAAATATTACAAAATTATGAGGTAAGTTGGTATTATGGCTAAGTGACTAAATACTAGTTTGTGAGTTTAGCAATGTGAATGCTTTTGTTTTGGCACTATACATAGTTTCAGTATGACTAGTTAAGATTCATTATTTTGAGATTGAGATTGATATTTCTGTTTATGGTCAAATGGGTGAGTGAGTGTAAGTGTTAATAACCACCAGGTGGTATTCGTGTAATTAGTTGACGGGGTGTATCAGAGAGATAAGATGTTTTCTGATGGTAGTTTTGAAGGTGATGAATGTGTCTGCAGTTTTAGAGGTGTTCCAGATTTTAGGGCCTTTGACATACATTGAATTTTTGTAAAGGTTTAGTCGGACACGGGGAATGTCATAGAGATGTTTGTGTCTGGTGTTGTGCCTGTGGGTTCTGTCGCAACTATCAAGAAAGCGTTTTAGGTCAAGGTTAATATTGGAATTTAAGGTCCTGTAGATGTAGATTGCACAGTAGTAAGTGTGGATGTACTGAACAGGGAGTAAGTTTAGATCTATGAAGAGTGGGGGGGGGGGGTGTTGCCAGGGATGGGATTTAGTGATTATTCTTACTGCGGCTTTTTGTTGGGTTATTATTGGCTTTAGGTGTGTTGCTGCAGTTGAACCCCAAGCACAGATAGCATAGGTCAGGTATGGATATATAAGTGAATGGTATAGTGAGAGAAGGGCAGTTTGCGGCACGTAGTATCGTATCTTGGAGAGGATCCCAACCGTTTTGGATACTTTTTTGGTTATGTGTTGGATATGGGTGCTGAAGTTCAGGTTGTTGTCTAGGTATAGGCTTAGGAATTTGCCCTCATTATGCCTGGCAATTAGAGTGTTGTCGATCTTAATGTTAATTTGCGCATCTCCTGCTCTGCTACCAAACATAATGTAGTAGGTTTTGTCAGTGTTAAGCGTAAGTTTATTGGCTGTCATCCAAGTCGATATTTTGATCAGCTCCTCATTAACAATGGTGTTGAGGGTGGCAAGATTAGGGTGAGAGATGACATAAGTCGTGTCGTCAGCAAAGAGAATTGGGTTCAGGTGTTGAGATACGTTTGGAAGATCATTGATGTATATGAGGAAGAGCAGGGACCAGGACACTTCCCTGCGGAACTCCAGTATCAAGTGGCTGTGTTGTTGATGCTGTGTGGTGACATACTGATACCTATTAGTAAGGTAAGATTTGAAATATGCAAGCGCATGGCCTTTATACCATAATGGTCAAGTTTGTGGAGTAGGATGCCGTGGTCTACTGTATCAAAAGCTTTTCTTAGGTCAATAAAAATTCCTAGTGGATATTCCTTATTTTCCAATGCTGTGTAAAGCAGATCTAGCATTTTTATGATTGCATCGTTAGTGCTTTTATTTTTCCTGAATCCAAATTGGCAGGGGTTGAGTATGTTTTGTGCCGTTTAAATGAATATAGTCTCCTGTGCACGAGTTTCTCAAAGATTTTGGATAGCAATGGTAAGTTTGATATTGGCCTATAGTTGTTTAAATCTGTAGGGTCACCACCTTTATGTACTGGTGTAACCCTTGCCGTCTTGAGTAGTTTCGGGAAGGTGCTAGTTTCTAGTGACTTGTTAAAAAGTAATGAGATAGCATGCGAGAGGACATGGGCCGCTCTCTTGTACAATAATGGTGGGACATGAGACAGATTCCCTGAGTTATTTTTAAGTGACTTTATAATCTCGGTGACTTCCATGGGCTCAGTTGGAGCAAGATAGAAGGAATTTGGGAAATTCCCATCTAGGTAGTCCCCAGCATGGGCATTGGTGCGTGGGATTTTATTGGCGAGATTAGAACCTATGGCTGAGAAGAAGTCGTTTATCTTGTTAGCTGTGTCAGTGGGATGCAGTGGTGTTTCATTAGGTTTAGTTAGGGCAATATTCTTGTTTTTTTTTCAGTTTGTGGGTCCCCAGAATCTGAGAGAGTGTTTTCCAGGAGGATTTGGTGTTGTCGAGTCAGGACCAGTCAGCGCCTCCCCCCCTCTCCGCTGGGGGGAGGGGGAGGCGTGTGTAGTAAACAGTGACCCTTTCATAACGCCTCAACACCTGCGCGTCTCCCCCGCCTCACCCACCCAACTCCCAGCGCCACCCCATCAGTAGAGGGTACTTCTCCCCTAACCCACGATGTCAGCGATGGCACTGCAGGGAGTGCCGGGCTCACAGGAACTTCCACTTTCAGGGACAGCATCGTGGAGTTCGACCGCGAGGCAGCTGTCAGGTGTGCCACAGGCAGTGTGTACTCAGTTCCTCAAGCTTCAACATCCGTGCACACGAGGGCC